AGGCATGTAGTTATTACGCTGACCATGAGTGTATCCACACAGTCTCGTAAGTAAAAGATAATCTCAAAGTTCAATATTAAGTTTGCGGACTGTCATGTGAACCCAACTATTAATTACTGTGTGTAGGCTTTACCTTTACCTTTACCTTTACCCGAGTTTCTAGATAAATGCTGTGTTCTCAGCAATTGCTGAAAGGTCTTGAATAAATCCTTGTTGACACGTGATGCTGTACACAGCCTCATAAATGGCCATGCAAACATGCTTTAGCAACCACCTGTATAGAAAGATCACCTGTCTTTAAAGGGCAATTCTGATCAACCCTGAAATAATTTCTTTTTTTCTAAATTTGATAACTGTTGGTCTGTTGCTGACTTTTCTAATTTAAATTTTTTTGTAAAGTGTGTTTGGTCCTATGCTTTAATGTAGCTTGATAAATTTTTGTCTCAAAGTTTCCATTCTCGGGCATTCGAAAAGATTCAGTTTGCAACACGGCAATTGAATATTACAACACGGAGGTATATGCAGGCAAAGATTTATTCACGCAGTTCCGGCTTTTCAGATTTGATGAAGCGGATGATAAAGCATGGAGGTGTATACATAACATGTATGGCTGCATATAAATTTGTTCACATTCATCAACCATTTTCTCATATTGAGTGGACTATATTCAGGTTTTTTGTAGATTTAATATTAATAATATTAGTTGTATTTGACACAGCGCAATCAAAGTGAGAGTTGAATTGTGCTTAAAGTAACATAATCGTGTGAAAATCAGGATTTTAGGTGGAAATTTTATCGCAATTCAAATACCATTTGCTGTATGAATAGTAGTACTAATGAATGGGTTTAATCGCATTAAAGGTAATACAAAGTTTTGGTATGGGGTCATGAATTTGATTCAAATGAACATATTGGAAGCATATATGCGATCCTACAATATTCAGTGATCATTGTCGCGGTTGAAATCGAGTCTAAAGTTATGAAATTGTAGATAATACACGTTTTATATTGTATAGCTCCCTCTCAAGGTCAAGATATTAATTAACCTATGAAACAATGTTTATTGACTAAAATCGCCTGATTCGCTATTCCCGTTTGGAAATTATATACCACAACTACATACTCTGAGATTTTCATGGTCGCAGCTACCATTGTACGGCCGTAGGAGCTATTTGAAATTTATCAAAATTTACCGGGAGCACCGGTAAATCTTTATATTCAATTTTTCTCAAAAGCAGAAGTGTTTTAGAGGCTAACATTTTTGGTGTTTTTAGTACATCCACAGGGGCATCCAAATATATCAAAATTGTTAAGAATCACATCCACCCATTTTTCAAATTTTCCCAAAACTTTGTAATACCTTTAATCACATTAAAGGGAATACAAAGTTTTGGTATGTGGTCATGAATTTGATTCAAATGAACATATTGGAAGCATATATGCGATCCTACAATATTCAGTGATCGTTGTCGCGGTTGAAATCGAGTCTAAAGTTATGAAATTGTAGATAATACACGTTTTATGTTGTATAGCTCCCTCTCAAGGTCAAGATATTAATTAAGCTATAAAACAATGTTTCTTGACTACAATCCACCGATTAGCTATTTCTGTTTGGAAATTATATATCACAACTGTTCTGAGATTATCATGGTCGCAGCTAGCATTGTACGGCCATAGGCGCTATTTGAAATTTATCGCTATTTAAAATTTATCGCTATTTGAAATTTATCGAAATTTACCGGGAGCACCGGTAAATTGTTATATTCAATTTTTCTTGAAAGCAGAAGTGCTTTAGGGGCTAAATTTTCTAGTGCTTATAATAAATCCACAGGGGCATACAAATATATCAAAATTGTAAAGAATTACTATCCACCAAATTTACAAAATTTCCCAAAACTTTGAATTATCTTTAAAAGGGAAGAGTTGAATTGTGATTCTAATCTTACTCTTGTGTGAATGAGCTTTTAACGCTGGCCTGGTATCAGACAGCATGACATTGCAGAATATCGACGATCCTACTTACCAATGCTTTTCACATACATGAACAATTGGGAGTTGATGATTTGCTCATCCGAAAATCAGCATGATGTTAGTGTCAATTGAGAGTAGAGTATAAACTGATAAATTTGGTTTTGTTTTCTGTTATCGCTTTTTAATTGATTTGTTAAAGTTAATGTAAATTTTAAAGATGTATTAAGTAGTTTCAAATCAAGCAATTTTTTTAACCATTGGGAATTATTGCAAGCTATGCATTTCATACCTTTGATGTGTGCTTGCAGAGATGCCAACCAGTACGATTAAATCGTATTTAGTACGATGATAAGAGTGAAATACGATCTTAAAATACGATTTTTCATTTTTTTTCATTTTTTAAAACCCATAAAAACAGCAGAATCACATAGAAACATGTACAAGTAAACCCCCGCAACCCCAACAAAAACTTTGCTTAATTAATTAAAGAGCAAACCGGGCCAGTGGTAGTGTCAAGTTTTCGTGAAAATCTGATATTTTTTTTTTAGGACACTCAGTCTGTTTTTTTGTGTCAAGAGGTTGGCATCTCTGTGCTTGACCCTGTGTCTTCTTCTAGCTAGAAAGAGTAATTTTGTCATAATGTTATTATTTGTGTTTCTACTAGATCACTAATTCATACCCGGTTCTTATCCAAACCTACATGTAATAACACTAATTCATGACCAAACCCTTTTTCAGAATATTCAAGACTTCATTTTGCTTTCAGTTTTTTATTCTTCCTTAATATCACAGTTAAATCACATATAACCCAGCTCTCCTTCTTGCAGTTAGACGGTTATAATTATTATTTTATTATTATGTATTTGGCATCGTCTGTGCCTGGGAGGGGTAAAGCGACCTGAATCACTATGACCCTCGAGTTACAGTGATTCGGTATAACTGATTGGGGATGTGCAAGTGGACCACTACATGTACCCCAGGGTTTCCCCCTACTCTTAAACGAATAGTGCAGTGAGCACAACCTCTCCTCTACATGGGGCCTTCATTTAACATCCTATCTGAGGGACAGAGTGTTTCCCTCTGTAACCTACATGTAGTCTGCACGTATGAAACAGGGGAGGGGCCCGTTAACACACAACGCAGAATTCAGTCATCTGCCTGGGTTGGATCCTAACCCACGATCTTTGGTTTGACTGGCAGACGCTTTACCAACTGATCCAACTGATCCCTTCAATACCATAACAAAATAATAACCTTGGTTATAAAAAGCATACTGGTGGCTTAATTCTTGATGATGTTCAATTAATTATGATGCCACATATCGTCCCTGTTTTCACGAAGTGACGGTAGTGAGGAAAATCGTAACGCAAAGTGAATGCAATTTTTTTTCACTACCGTCACTTCGTGAAAACAAGGACGATATGCTCTTTATTGCTTGCTGCTTTTGCTTTGCTGCTACTTCTAAGTATGTTTTACCCAGGATGCCAGGATAAATGCCTTTGTATTAATTTTCTCCAGGGACATTGCCTTCAGTGTGGAAAAAAATCACCATGACTTGCAGATTTTTTCCCAGGCAATTCAGTCTGCTTTTTAGATCAATTGGACTATTGAATGCTTTGTTTACATCTTTTATATTTTTTTTCTATCTGTCAGCCAGTGTAATTTGGAAACTTTTCATTGAAGACTGGATTTTTTTTCTTCAAGCTGAAATATATGCCAACTCATGCTGAGAATATGTAGCCTGCACATTGATATTGCAATTCATCAAGTTATCAGTGTTCTTTGAGAAAATACAGGTACCCTGGAATTTCAAGACAAAATATATATGCATTGTTATAGATTGTTTGGTCATCGCGCGTTATCTCTCTTCTGTCTTTCAGCAGATTGTGCGCTGGTACCTGTAAATGGTGGCTCTGAAGTGAATTTGGAATTTGGAAATAATGTTTTAGAAGTCTTGAATAGTGTTTTTGTCAGATACTCCTTTTCTTGATCCAAATGACATAACCTTTTTAGTTGATTTGGTACTGAAACATGTTAAATTTGATTGAAATCTTGCTTTAATGAGGATAATGACGATATAGTTTTTTATCAAAGGAATAATGCCTATTTCATCACCTCTTTAGGGTGTTAGTGACGTCTCTTCAGATTATCCTTTGGATAACGTATAATTCAGCCCACAAACCTATTGGAGACCTAAAATCTTTTAGGCAAATATATTATCTTCTGAAGTTCTGAGGGTCTTTGTTTGCCTGTAAAAAGAAGTCAGCTGGAGTGTCAAGTTTTGTGCATTGTCACTGTTTGATTATCTAACTGAGTTCTCTACCAGACTGCTTATATCATTTTCCAATAGGATTTTCCAGTGCATCTTATTCTAATTGTCATGTATCTCTGCCACATTGTATTTTCCCCTCTAATCACACCTTGCCTCCCCTTAGCAGTCACTAATACTAGGAATTAAATCATGTATATTTCATTATAGTTCAATAGAGTTATTCAAGTGTGGCATCAGCTTTACTTGGAAACAAATTACATCACAGGGCTATTTTCTATTTGTTGCCTAATACTATAATAGTACCATTTTGTTTTGTACCTTTTGATAGAAAGCTAGTAGAATCCCACTGGAAAATTTCCTGCAGGTAGGATATGTCTAGAAGGGAGTTTTGGACTGGCCCTTGTTCATTTAGATTTAATCCACTTTCTATACTGGTAGTCAAATGGAAATCAGCATTTCCCTATTTTCCCTATCCAGACAATAAGATCAAGGAATAGTTCATTATCTCTAGGGCATGGCCTAGAAAAAGTAAGCCGCTAAGGCGCTAGGCTCTTCCTTGAAACAAACTTTGTACATTGTGGCCCGAATTCACAAATGAGGTTTGAGCTCAGACCAAGGTTTTCGTACGTCATATGACGCGTTTTACGCATTTTTTACAAACCTGGTTTGTAAAAAACAAAAGGAGGTTTGGCGAAACAAAAGGAGGTTTGAGCTCAAACCTTGGTCTGAGCTCAAACCTTGCTTTGTGAATTCGGGCCTTTATGTATACAATGTCTTCACGCTCCAGTAGACTTACGTTTGACTGCTACCGGTATCTCGAAAGGAAGGGGTGATATTGTTATGATACACTGGTATACTCGAGGTTGATAGTATTGATGGAAAATGCTGAGTCACTTGTTCTTTCATGGGACTCGCTCAGCTCAGCCCACAACCGGATAGTAACTGCATGTGCATGCTACAATGACCCTTACCTGCATGCAGCTAGCGCTGGCATTCACAATCACACACACACAGACACACACACAGAGTAATAAACGCATTGTCATGCTATCGATCCGCTGAATGTGGACTTCCAACGGCTTCTGCGCACGTACTGTCGATGCATTTAGAGTGGAGCAATGCATGCAGTTGAATGAGCCCGTGATCTACCTGCAAGGTTGGCTCGTCGCCGCAAGTCGTCGGTGTTTATAAGCAAGATGACTCTGAATTATTTGGCAGTATTGGACTTGAACGCTGGTCAGACCAAACCCGTGTGAGATATATTTCAGAACCTAAAACTACAGACTCCAGGATATACATACTGCTTGTCTCTCTACCTCTGGCTAAATAACTATATTACTTGAATACCGTTGGAATACATTCGCATCATTATAATCAGGATTTGTTTACGTCTATGTGATATATATAGTAGGTGTGCTTCATCTGGTAACATAGTATTCACAGCGAAATTACTCTACAGTCAATTACGGAATAGATTAGTGGCGCAGTGAATCTTGGGGATATATCGACTGCAGATTACTTTGGAATTACTTGATTCGTTGGTCATTCTGTGGAATTAAATTCAAGAGTGGTATGTTTTATTTTTCATTTCCTTTTTCAATATTTTTCTCAGTTAATGCACTGTTTTTGTGAAAATATGTTAGTACATGTTACAAGTGTATACTATAGGATGTAATTATATGAGTATTTTAATAATTGACAAAATGTAGGCGTATACATTTGTCATTACATCATTTTGTTTTTATAATGATACTGAATGATTAAGCTGTTTTGTTATATTTCAGCTATTAATACTTTGTTGGAGGTATATATGATACTGGAGTTTTCATGAATTGCAAAATACACAGAATCTGTAGCAGCTCTGCGTGCATTGCCTACAGGCTCAACATAATATGTACTGGGCATAATCTTTTATTGTAAATGTGATATAATTTGAATGTTTTGCATGATTCACCATGTTTTTTGGGGGGTTATATTTCAATATTTTTTATTTGTAACACTATAATATTGAATGAACTGAAGGAACCAAGAAGTTATTGACATGACAACAAGTCTGTGAGACATTATTAAGCAGCATACCAGCACACACACACATTTTATTGCCAATTTCGAGCCCTTCAATACCTGTTTTGATTGACTGATTTCACCCATGAACTTACACACGTCATTGCTATGCAATGGCTGCATGTTTTGCTATGCACAGCATGTACATCTGTTAAAGGATGATATGTGTTAAGATATAAAATTTGGTTAAGATTGCTATTTTGTACATACAGTACGTGAACTATTATACCAAACAAAAGTATCGCCTACTAGTAGTACAACAGACATTGTGGTACATGTACATTGTAAACAAATCATGGACTACAACGTAACAACTGTACGTTGATAAATTAATTAATTTGATAAATTAATAGATATAGATGAGGAAAGAATCCTGCATATATATACAAAGTGCTCATGAAAATGAATTCCTGTACAAATATAAGCCTATATTATAGCTGATCATATTAGCTGATGTAAAGTTTACTGTTGGCTTTTTATAAACATGTTCATCTTTTCAGATATCCTCATATCAGTGAGAAATAATCGCTTTTGATTTTCTTACCCTGACCAGTGTCACTAAACAGGGCCGGGCAGCTCACTGAAAGTAGAGCACAATGAACTTTTAATTAGGCTTACATGCATAATAATAAAATAGCATAATAGTCCCAGAGGTGTCATGATATGTTTTGTAATGTTACACTGAAATGTGAAACCACAAGATTGTAAGTGTGAAACAATATGATTATTCATTATTTTATTGCAAAACAATGTAACACATATTTTGTAAATCATTGTGTTTTCTGACCAATAAAACTTGGTAAAAAAATTATTAAAAAATGTTAGTCGCATAGATTTCTGAGAAAGAATGCTCAAGGATTATCTATCGGTCACAAATCCTGTTCAGCTAGCTTTCAACCCTGAGCAATGTCACTGAACAGAAGCGAGGAGGGTCGGTCGGTCGGATCTAGAACACAGGCAAGGCGTTACAATATGCCAAGTCAGCAGTCTGTAGATGACCTGCATGACTCCACAAGATAGCTTGCAATGATTCATAGCAGATGAGTCGGGGGATCAGACCCGATCCTCTAATTGGGCAAGACGTAGAGTGGGCCAGGTGGGCTTGTAGTATTACTTGCTTGATTTGCCTGCACTTTCTGAAGTGGTTGGGATGAACTTGGGCTAACCTAACCCATTTTCATATCAATAACATGGAGAATTGAGGTGGAATTTGGTGAAATTATGTCACATTTATTGTTATGTGTCTCTAGTTTTACATTGGAGGCTGTTTTAAGTATTACCAATTACTTCTGTACTACGTTCACTAAAGCTCAATGCTCAACACTAACTCTTTTTAGAGGGGGTCTGGATTTCAGTTTTTACAGTCTGTATGCATTACCGGTAGCCGTAATTTTTATTTTTGAATTTGGGGGTTTGGATTTACATTTAGATTTTTAGGCGCCCACATGTCCCGGGCAGCTGTTAGTACCGAGCCCTGCCTACACTGATGTACATGTAGTACCATCAGAGCGTTTGGACACTTCTCCAAACAAGGCATAATTCAGTCTATTCATTTCTTTAAATTTGAATTTGACAAGTCTTTATACTAGGGAAATGATCAGAAGAATGTAGAATTGAAAACTGCAGAGTTAAAAAGCCTGTGTGTTGTACAATGTTCCAAAGCTATTCCTCACTTAATTGGCCTCCTTTTTCTACAAAACGTTTTATTAAGTACTGTACATTAGCCACTTTCATTTGATGACTTTGGAATTCTCTTCAAAGGATTTGCTTGATATAAGTCAAACAATCTTTCGTCATTGTGCAATGTTTGTAGTTCAAAGTCAAAGAGATCTTATTTGTTTCTGCTTCCCTAGACAAGTACTTCACAGTCTAGTTCGATGGCAAAACAGCTTTTCAAGAGGCTCATGGCTTAAATTGAAAGTTGAATGCTTGTATTTAGAGTGGGAAGTACAATGTAAGTAGGAAATTCTGGGGAAACCCCTTTTTGTCACCACTGCAATGCAAAATGTAATATCCTGAACCCAATGGATATTTCATGTGAATTTGTATCCTACATTCATGCCATTAGTTGTAAGTTACATTCAATGAAGGTACATTTCAGTTTGAGTCAAGGTGGCCTCTGTTTTGATCATTCATTGTGTGGATCTTAGCAGGTAAAAAAAATAAGGCAATCGGTTGAGTGTACTTGTTTGGCAGTTTTGCCTATTTAATTTTGTGACATGCGATTTGAGAATGAGAATAATTTGTTGGCTATGAAGGCCTTCTTGGAATGTCTGTTTATTGCTCTTTCTAATTGAGGTTTACTTTTCAGCTACAGTAGGCTTATGTTCATGAATGAAGTGTTAAAACAGATTTTTCTAGGTTTTTCTTCACATCGTACAGACTACATTGTAGATGTGTGCATCATGAGCTCTGCGGCCATTCATTTATTATACTCTCAAACATATTTTATGTACATTGTAAGAGTAGATTCTGTCTTGAAAATACCTTGCAAAGCACAAAATCAATTTACTTGCCCCCTGATTATGTAAACCGGGATAATTCCTACAAGACCAATAACAAGTTGAAAATCCTAGAAGCTGATTCCCTCATCTGAGAATCAAGAGGATGACCTCTTCAAGTAGGCTACATGTCAGGTCTGTAGAGTTATCCGATCATGGATGTCGATCATTCTGGTCTCAGCAGACAGATAATAAATTAGTTTTCATAACTGTTAATAGCTTTGGTAACCGCTTTCATTATTATTACGTGCCTTCATGTACACTGTACATGCATTTGTAATAGATGCGTTTATTACAGTATCTGCTCATGCCATTAGCCGCCTACGTAGAGGTCAATGACCTTTGAGGTTCCTTGAGAATTTACTCTACTAGTCTTGTGTGACAGACTGTTCTCAAACATTTACTAGCATTAACATTGTTAGATTGAAAAAGAGTCTGTTTTAAAAAGAAGAAAGAAAATTATTTTGATTATTAAATTAGTAGATTATCAACAGAAATGTAGAATGGGAAAGTATAGACTGGAGAGGGTGTTTCAGATGCACATGTTGGACTTCAAGTGGCGCGTTTTCAATTGAAATTAGGCTTATGGTACTTTATTTCATTAGTGAAAAGTTCTTTGGAGTTTGAACTTGTTTTGATAATCATGCCTTGAAATATTCATGGGATTAGTGTAAAAACCTGTAAACATGTAGATCAGCAAAAGATAGATATTATTTTTAAAGTAATCTGATCACAAAAGACTAGTATAATTTCAGGTGGATACAATTCAAGCTTTCTCTTCATATTATTCCTGAAAGGACCTAGAAATTCCCTTTTTTTTACCTGTTACAATGCCGAACTGAAAGCAGACGATAAGCGCACCACACCTAGCTCAGCTCAGCTCAGTGACCTCTGAAATTAGAATTTGCTGGCAGTTTTTATCTGCTCATACTGTACCTGTGCAAAGTCCCCCGTGCGATGGATGACGGTGCATTATTACAGTCAAGTCAGTTTGTTTACAGACAGACCTTGTTCTATGTCTATGTGCAGTTAAAACATAGTGAACTGGTTTTTTGTTTATTGATCAGTCCCAGCTAGCCAGGGAGGACATACATGTAAGGTGCAAATATGGGGGATCCTGGATGGGTAATAGTTTATTGGATTATGGCTCCATGTTTAAGATACCGGTACTCGAAATTTTTCAGCATGACTTGTGGGTAGTGGGTGCATGTATGTATGTATTGTAGGTCAAATCAGAGGTTACTTGCAGGCCTACATCGTACATTACATACATGTATATGCCTATGTTATTATGTCAGTTAACTTACTTAATTTAGCTCTTTCACTGTTGAGGTGTTAGTTGCTGCATGCATACAGATAATATAGTCCTTCACCCTTAAAAGAATATAATTTGAAAAGTAATAGAGCAGGAAATGAATGTAAAAAAAATATATATATGGGCGTAGTCCTTATTTATAGGGTTCAGCTAAATACAGGTATGTCACTAATTTCCATTTTCACAGTGAGCACCCTACATTTGCTTACACTTCAATGTTTAAATACTATATGTAAAGTATGTACGCAGGCTGACGTGTCTGGCATGTTTCATGTTGAAAGCAGTTTGAGAAACTTTGTTATTTCTCCACCTGTGTAGCTGTTTTGTGTTCTACGACCACGTGTGATCATGTGTGGGCATGCCTTGTGTCTCGTTAGCAGGAGGTTCCGAGTTTGAAACCAAAGCAATGCGCTAGTGCCCTTTGGTAAGGCATTAATCATCATTATCAAGTCCCTCGGAGAGGTCTTAAAGTCGTCAATTCCCTGGTTGCTTACTTACAAGCATGCAAATGCTTTCTAAGCAGTCGGGTAAAACAAACCAGCAAACCAAATGTCAAAACTAGTGCTGTAGTCAAACGTTTAACCGTCCGGTATCCGACCGCCCATGGCGGATTCCGTTTTCAATTGGACGGTTTCGTTTTCCCGATTTTTTTTTTTTTTTTTTTTTTTTTTTTTTTTTTTTTTTTTTTTTTTTTTTTATAATTTTTTTTTTTTTTTTTTTTTTTAAAGTTTCGATTTATGCCCCTCCACCTGGCACTATGCCTGGCAATGTCTCCCAGCTCAGTAAACTGTGTGTTGACTCACCACTCCAAAACTAGAACAACACTCCAATTTGTCTGTCATCTTGGTTTGAAAGTAATCTTTGTAATAGATCTCATCATCTCAATATGTAGTTTATAATAATAATTCATCCAACTTTTACACAAGGTTCTGTCCTAGGTCCTCTACTGTTTTTAATTTACATTAATGATCTTACACATTCTTCTAAAAACAACATTGTTACTATTATTTGTGACAAGTTCACAAGCACAAATCGGCCCCTTTAAATGCACCTCGCAGTTAAATGAAAGTTGCCGACAGAGTCGGTAAAAAAAAAAAAAAAAAAAAAAAAAAAAACGATTTTTTTTTTTTTTTTTTTTTTTTTTTTTTTTTTTTTTTTTTTTTTTTTTTTAATTTTTTTTAATTTTTAAATCGTTTAACCGAAAACCGTCCGGTTTTGACTGGCGGTTAAACGGAATTGGAGATATCCGTGATGTTACAGCACTAGTCAAAACAACATTTCTATGAGATATGATTATGAATGACGTTAGATGTCAAAGAAGAATGAGATTTGCATTTGACCTTGGTCTCCGGATCTTCACGTTTCAACTTGATCATCTAAGAAACCACATACATGCACTGTACACACACTTTAATTGGCATGTACAATGTATACATAGGTGGAGTGTGCGCATACAAGTGGGCATCTAGCGATCATACACCTAATACAGCATGAATGTGACATATCATGAGAGACAATGTCAACTTTGGAATGTTAGTGTAATAGAAACGAATGGTCTTATTGACATAGTTAAATGCTGAGTCATACATGTACATGTATATGGCACATTTCAAACGAACTCTGCGCTACATTACGTGCTGTACGTGCACGTCAACAAACTTTCTGTCATGTTTGCTAATTTTACAATTAACACATCAATTTGATAATACAGCATGGATGTGTATGCGGGTAAAGATTTATTCACGTGGTTCCGGCTTTCCAGATCTTGAGTAGACTTCAGACTTTATGAAGTGGATGATAGAGCAGGGTGGTACACTGTATATTATACAAATAATACTCAGCAGCGAGGGCATTAGCAAGAATACCCGCACAAGGTACCTTTGGAACAGTCTAACACGCCCAAGGCGATAGCCAAGGGTGTTTGGACCATTTTGATTTTACCAATGCCCGAACAAAACGATGTGTATTATTTGTTTTATAAAATGATTTTTTATAACATGATTTTACTTATTGGTAAAATGATGTGTTAGGCAAAATAAATGCCTGGTCACATGTACGCTCTCAACCAATCATTTGATTGGTTCATCATCTTATAAATGTATATAAATTTGTTTCACATTCTTCAACCATTTTCTCAAATTGAGTCGACTATTCAGGTTTTTTGTGAATTCAATATTAATAATATTACCGTTACGTACTTGTTTGTGACACGCGCAGTCAAATTGAGAGTTGAATTGCGATCGAAATATCATTATTGTGTGAAAAGCAAGATCTAAATTCAGAGTTTGATCGCCATTCAAATACCATTCCCTGTTTGAATGGGTTTAATCGCATTAAAAGGGAAAAGTTCAATTGTGATTCTAATCTTACTCTTGTGTGAATGAGCTGTTAATGCTGGCCTGGTAACAGACAGCATGACATTGCAGAATATCAATGATCCTACTATCAATGCCTTCACATACAAGTGGACCACCTAGTTGTTGTTTTAGCTCGTGAGTAGGTGCTCAGCCATCATCGACTCTTGCAAAAACAAAGCCTGTTCTGTCAATTAATCATTGAGGGGTCTCAAATGGGTCTCAAATACATGTTCAACTAGACGAACGTGTATGCATACAGTGATACTTGAATTTTTTTTGGATTGGTGTGGCTGTGTTTCTTTTCTTCCCTTTTTTAACACTCTTAACCTACATGTATGTTGCTAATCCTTTTTTCACATCTTATTCTGTGTCCTATTCCATGTAGTTGTGGTACATTTCTTCATTTCTCAACAGCCTGCATTAATGCTTGCTATTTATAGGAACTACTGTATTGCCACTGTTGTTTTTACAAATTGTTAACATATTTCTTTTACCTCTTTTATTTTTCAGATAACTTCATCTTCTGGGATTCTGTTCTACCTCAAGTGATTGAAGAGCAGGGACTCCCATCATCATCTCTTCTCCGTATTATGATCCAAGCTGGACGTCAACATTGCTCAACAACAGAATTCTACGCATAATGGCAAAGAGGGAGCCCTTCCCAATAGCAAAAATATGGACCCACCACGAGTACCCCCAAAGCCACCCGTCTCTGACACGGCTAGCAACCCGCCCAGCGAATGGCCACAGAAAGGAATCCGTCACAAGATTGGCTGTGATGGCAGCATCACCTTCACCAGTACCAAACACCCCGCCAACGCATTCAAGATCGTTAGCGAACTGCGGGAGAACCGCGATTTGTGCGATGTAACGCTCATCGTCGAGACTGTTAAATTTCACGCCCACAAGGTGGTGCTAGCATCATGTAGTCAGTACTTCAAGGCAATGTTTACAAGCGGGTTTCACGAGTGCTCTAAGCAGAGTATTGAGATCAAGGACGTACACCCGTGCGTCTTCTCACGGATAATGGACTTCATCTACACCTCAGAGATCACCATCACCGAGTGTAGCGTTCTGGAGCTTTTACCCAAAGCAATCATGTTCCAGATAACAGACATTGTGGATGCATGCTGTAATTTTCTGGAGCACCAGTTGGACCCAACAAACTGTATAGGAATTTCAATGTACGCGGAGGAGCACAGTTTACGTAGTCTGTCAGAACAGGCAAGCATGTTTGTGTTCCGTCACTTCTGTGAAGTATCTCAATCGGAAGAATTCATGAACCTCAATCTGGTGCAGCTTTTAACGGTCATCAAGCATGACAAGCTCAACGTATGGTGCGAGTCGGAGGTCTACGACGCCTGCCTCAGGTGGGTGCGGCACAAAGAGGACGAGCGTAGGCCGTGCCTAGAGAAACTCTTCAACTGCGGGGCGATCCGTGTTGAGCACCTCTCACCAGCATTCCTCAAGAGGCAATTAGATCGTTGCGACATTCTCAGGGACGAGCCAAAGTGCAAAGACTACCTGTCCAAAATCTTCCAAGAACTGCAGCTGCACAAGTCCTTCAAGACGCCCAAACGGAACCCCATCTCAGCCTGCGTCATCTACACCGCCGGGGGCTACCTCCGCCAGTCTTTGACGACTGTGGAATGTTACAACCCTGAGGAGGACCGATGGCTCAGGTTAGCCGACCTCCCGGAGCCGAGAAGCGGACTCAGTGCAGCAACCATACATGGTATATTTTATGTGGTAGGGGGAAGGAACAATACTGCAGAGGCTAACACGGACTCCAATCGCCTTGATGCGTACAATCCCCTCAATAATCAATGGAAAACACTCCCTCCCATGAACCACCCTAGGAACAGAGTGGCTGTAGCGGTACTAGATGGACTATTATATTCAGTGGGAGGCTCGCATCAATGTAATCAACACAACAGCGCAGAAAGGTAAATATCATTCAAGAATGTTTCCTTAGCTTCTTGTAACACAAGAGTTCAAGAGAAAATAAATAATTCTTATGCAACCAAAGCTTAATTTGTCCTTTTGCAGTGCTCGACTTCAACTTTTGGGCTCTCACTTTAGGTGACCTAACATATGTGTGGTGACATTTGCTCCAGGATGTTTAAGTTTTAAGGTAGGTTTTACATAAGGGTTAGGGTTAAAGGGTTAGGTCTAGTGTTTCGTCCAGGGTTGAAATAAGGCCCAGGGTCATTGTGGGGAATCGACCTTGGAGCAATTGTCATCAAAGCATGTGTCGTAGAACCCTGCTCTGACCTGAAGAAATGTAGATAGAAATTGTTGTTGTTGTTGAGAGTCTGAGGTTGACAAGATAATCACCTGCCACCAGGTGTACCTTTAGTCAGAGTTAGTAGTTTTCATGTTGCTTAAATTCATCAACACTCGAGTGCTATACGACAAGGATCGATAGGAAAAAATGCGCAATCATGCTCATCGCCGCGAGTCGTATCGGTCATCTCATCAGAACTAGATTGCTCCAAATCGTCACTTGCTGGTACCTCAGCATGATAAGTCATTTTTTTCTGTGCCGCTGTGGGCCAGGCCTGCCAGGCAATGACTGACAGCTACTGGCCAGTCACTCACTTGGGGGACTTGCCGAGCTCGCTCTCCTACCTGCCTGATCCAAACTATTCTGCCTAGTCATAACCCTTATCTCCCCCTTCCCACTCCCCCTCCCCCCCCCCCCCTTCTCATGGGTCATTGCCAGCTAGACTCCTGGGAAAGAGAGTCAAGCAAGAACAATTGTCAATGTCATTGCTCTATTGTTTAGCATTTCTCCCTCATTATCTATAAGGTAGTCAAACCCAGTTTGGGAGGTCCGTAGTTCAGTGAATATCCTTCCCAAGACAAGGTTCAGATTTGTGATCATGTGGCTTATGTCCTTTTTTGGTATGCGAGTTAAAAAAAGTATAACATCATTAGGTGTTCTGCTGTCATCTTTTTCATGTTTCCTTTCTATTACTTTCTGTCATTAAGTCTCTCTCCCTCCCTCCCTATTTCCCTCTCCATTTCTATCTTTTTGTCTGTCTCTCTCTCTCTCTCTCTCTCTCTCTCTCTCTCTATATATATATATATATATATTACCCTCTTTCTCACTCCGTCGTTTATTCTCACATTCCCTCTCACTTTTTCTTGTTCCTCTGTCTGGATTTTTAAAAAAATTTATCATCTGATTACCTAGATCCAATACTGATGAGGAAAACAATCCGAGGTGAATGTCTCGGGGATGCCATGGATGCATTTGTCATCTCCATCTCCTCATCGCCTCGTTCCATCTGTCTCCCACCTGGAATCCTCCTCCTCCCTCCTCCCCCGCCATCCCTCATCCTGCTCTGGGATCGAAACAATAATGTCTCACCCCCTCTTCCCCCCTCCCCGTCCTGCCATTTTCCTGCCTTCCTATTTTCCTTGCTGACTCTCAGTGGATGTGCCCTCTGTAGAGAATGCCAGCTTGTAGTAATTCCCCCCATCTGAGACTCTGACATTTGAGAATAATGACTCCACACATTGTGTTCCTCTTTCTCTAACTCTCTTCATCTTTCTCTCTCTCTCTCATTCTGTCTCTGTGTGTTTGTCTCTGTCTTTCTGTCTGCCCATTTTGTTCTGATCAATATGTCCTTGACATTTTCATTGAAGTTTCACTTTTGTGTCAAAATATGGACGTTGTCCTTTGTGAAAGGTGAATTCACATTTGATATCGCGATTTCAATATTACACACTTCCATCTTTACTAATCTATGTACATGTAGAATAGGTTGCACATTAAAGGTAAAGACCAGTATTGGAAATGCCCCAATTTCAAAAAATGAAATGGAAGCTCTCATTACCAATCATGTGAAAGAATATGTTTTGACTAATACATGATGATAAAAAATTTGCCAGGAAACCGCCTACTAATTCATATATTTGGTAAATTTGTTTCTCTCATGGTCTGTGAGAGATATAGGGTAGTCCCATATACATCTTTCTGTGTATAATGCTTGTAACTTTACGAAGAATGGGCCAAATTTCTTATCATTTTGATGATTCCAGAACCTTGCAGATACTAGATGCTGGATGATCAACCTTTTCTGATCGATTCCACAACGTTTCTTTCACAATGCAATCGCATGACCATAACTGGTCTTTACCTTTAAACATATTATAACGCAGTGAACACCTGCCTCTATTTTTTATTCTTATTTTTTCTCTGTCTCATTTCTTCTCTCTTTAATACCCATCTCATCTTTCCTCTCTCTCTTCCTCTCTTTTCATCTTTCTCTCCCTTTTCATCTCTCTCTCTCTCTCTCTCTCTCTCTCTCTCTCTCTCTCTCTCATACACAATATTCTTTCCATCTACCAATATTTCTTCTCATGTTTCATTACTCCCAGTGAATACCAATGACGTAGGACACTGCCATGAGAACACACACGCTCCTTAGAAACAATAATAACTGATTACATCTCTTACTTACTCAATAATATCCAAGCAAATTATACCAACTTTATCACTTCAAGGGCCCTGAGGTTATTTGTAAATTGTAAAATACTTGCTCTGGAAGTCGTCGACACGACTTTCCTAGTTTAGAAAGGGACGGGATTCATTAAAAATGGTGTAGAGGAAGGAGAAAGCAGAGTTATTTTCGGTAGTTTGGAGCAGAGTGGGGAGATCAGTGAGTGAGACAGCACTGGCAGGCAGGGAGCGATCAGGCTTATCATCAGATATATTTCAGCGCACCATTGGGTGGCGAGTTTGCAACCAACAGTGCATGAGTCGACATAACGGGCGCACAATGACATGCATGTCTGACAAAAGGGCCGTTGTGTAGAGTCATGACTCCCGGATAGCAAACCACTAAGGCCAAGGGGAGGGGATAGTCTTAACCAGCTACAGAGTACAGACATTGTATTTTTTTAAATATCCAACTATATTGTATATAATGTTTTCCAATGTTCTGTGTTAAAAGCTCTTGAAAGTGTAAATGGCATATGAAATGTGATTTTTTTTTCTTTCTTTTTTCTAATTGGATGATGCTATGAAATGCACACATTCTATCTTTTCAACTACCAAAACAACAGTGTCGGTGTCCAGTTGATAAAGTAAATCAATTAGAGGAGAATTTGAGAAAACTCCAATCCTGACTCCTCATATTTTTTTTCCTTTCCCTCTGCATCGTTTGCACAAGACCGATCCATGGTATAATTTTAGAAGAAGGTGTGGGTGTAATCAATGGCGTATCAATTGTTTGGTGGCTTTCAATTTCATCACGTCTCGGCTCAAATAACATTTATTTCATTAATCCGTTGAATAAACAAACCCAACCCAACATAAGCATAGTATTGTCCCATGCCACCCCCACGATTTCACTTTACAATGGATGCTAAAAAGGTTGTTTCTTTAATAACATTTGATTGTTTCGCTATCAGAAAGCACCTTTCAAACACTTCTCTGTCGTACTCAAGTGTTCAAGTACCTAAAATGAAGCTGCTGCTGCCTGCTGTTTTTGTAATGTTGTTGTTGCCCCCTCAACAACTACTATGAAAAGTGTTCTTTTTCCAATATTTTCCTGGCTCCAAACCAAATTGGAGTTATTCACGATGATGGCCTCACCACAAACGTGAAGCAGGTTCGTTTATCGAGGCACTCGACCTCCTGGGTTAACTGTTTTCAAGCAGGCTTCACCCACAGACTAACAGGGGGGAAAGTCACTTGTTACTCCACACAATTGCATTGTCATTGCGGCCAGGTAATTGAATCATCGGAGTACCAGTAATCGGCAAATTGCGCTTTCTGCGTTGACAAATTGCACGTCCTGTTGGCATTTCAGCTGTACATTCTGAACCCCCCCCCCCCCTCCCTGGAGGATCGAGACAAGGGAGATAGGATTCTGAGAAGAGAGACAGAGTCAGCTTGTTGAGATCTGTTAAATGCTTAAATGCCTTTAATGCATTACCCATGAATGTTGGAGAGCGTGAGATGCTTAATTGAAAAGATATGCACAGTGAGGGTTTATCCAATATTAGCATCGGTCTCTGAGGAGTACACGTCAGCCTTGCCAGAATGTTTCAAGGAATGACGATGATTGATTTCTTGATTTCACCCACTTTTAAACCCTTCAGCTATGCAATAGCATGGCTGACATGACAGTATGATTTGAAAGAAATTCTTATAACTGAAAAACTTAATTCATTATGTTAAAAAAAAAAATGAAATGAACCTTGGTATACGGTCTGCTGAGAGCTAGGAGCGTGTTGACTACATGTATATGGAAAAGGATATAAGTAAATAGTAAACATCTTTCTCTCTCTCTCTTTACCCTTACCATTCACAGGTATAACCCAGACGATGAGAAATGGTCCATGATTGCCCCCATGCACACCAAGAGGATAGGGGTCGGGTGTGCCGTGGTCAACAGGTTGCTCTACGCTGTCGGGGGATTCGATGGGGTCAACCGTCTCAACACGGTGGAGTGCTACCATACTGAGAACGACGAGTGGACGATGGTGAGCGCCATGAACACCAGGCGCAGTGGAGCAGGTAAGGAGTCCTCAGGCAAGGCGATGGGTAGGGGGTGAGGTGGTGGGAGGGAGGGGGGAGGATGCGGCTCAGGGTGTTGTTTACCAGAAGAGCTAGAAAGCTGAATGGTGACGACTAACCTGGCTTAGTAGATTAGGAAGAGGTAAAGAGTCCTTAGACAATCATTATTAATTGGAGGAGGTGGGGGGGGGGGGGGTTACGAGCCCAAGAAGTTTAGACATGTTGGATTGAACAGGACTCAAACAGACATATATGTATCTGTATAATTATGTTAAACAACTGTCTTTTCTATCATACATGTGTGCTTTGGTGTTCGCTCCCTCCCTACTAGCCCTTTGCCATTAATACAAAACTGCTACATGTATGCTACATTTCTTGTGTTTGGCATTTTTATCTGTTCTCAATGCAAGGAATGGAAACATTTCCTCCAGTAGAGAATGAGGAATATTCTCATACAACTGAAGCCTGTCCTTTCAATTATTTTAAATGCAAATCTAAAAATAGCCTGAAATGTTTAGATATCAGAGAATGCAGACAGAAGTATTATATGCTTGTTTGCTCATTTGTTTCCTTCTTTTATTTGCACTCTTTGCAGGGGTCACAAGCCTCAATGGTTACATCTTCGCGGTGGGCGGCTACGACGGGATGAACCAACTCAGCAGTATGGAACGCTACGACATGGAGAACGATCAGTGGGAGTTCATGGCATCTATGAACTCAAGGCGAAGCGCTCTCAGTGTCGATGTAGTGGGAGGCAAGGTCTATGCATTAGGTAGGTTTGGGTCACAGCTAGACAAGACATTGCATGGCTAGTATAGTTGGTCAGTTTTCATTTAAAGGGATTAGGCATCTTTGTCTCAGATTCTGAAACAAAATCCTGGATTTAGCTAACGCTGCAATACTAATTATAAATGGTTGGGTCAGTCAGGAACCCCAGACTTTTACAAGCCGATCGCATGTGTGATTATCAAGATATGTATGATTGGAAATCGAAACACTATAGTCTAGAGGGGGGGGGGGGGAATGAGTATGGTAAAACTGGTCACTCAAAGATTTTTACTTTTTTGAGGCACTTCATGATCATTTTGAAGCGCAATTATCTGAGGGCTTGAATATTACGCAATATCACAGACACTGATAACACGCAGGGCCATGCATCTCGGATTAAACATCGTTAAACAATGCCTTTAAGACCATGTTTAACTTCATCAATAATGCATGTTGTAGTGATGGTTTACTTTCCAAAACAATTATTCTGGAATGCTCAAGAATTTTTTTCTTCTTCCTTGTTTGCAGGTGGTTACGATGGCCAGGACTTCTTATCGTCGGTGGAGTGCTACGACCCCATGTCAGATACTTGGCAGGTGGTCACCAACATGTGCAGTGGGCGGAGCGGAGCGGGTGTGGCCGTGGGCATGGAACCATGTAAGACCGGCATGTGTAGCAGCGCCGCCAACTCCAATCGGTGACAGCAGCTACAAGCGGGGAGCAGAGCAGACGGCACTCCCTAATTCCGACGTGGAATCGTGCGGACGGGACGAGGAGATTTGAAATCGCCAAAAAATCATCAGTACACGTCAGGGATTTTGAAATTCATGTAAGAAGGAATGGGTTGTCTTTCAGCAGTGCTGGAAAGATTCCTGAGGCAAGGTGCTCTAGGTGTGGTCTTTGAGCCTGAGGATGTGCAAATCGATGCCCTTTACACAGCCTACCTGAACACCAAGGCGCATTATAGTCAGTACAGCTATGGCACTGTGATTGTAGTCTCTCCCTTGCTAGCCATTCTAAAAGCCTAACGGCTTTAATATTTGTGTGTGTGTTTGTCACACGCTGCCCGCTGCTCCACTGCTTGGCAGTTTATACCCAGAAATAGCTGCTGATTAAAGAGAAATCTTAAACTTTTACATTATGCAGAGAGAAGTAGCTGAAAACAAGTTTGGTTTATGTCATATCAGCATTGTGTGAATTTCTAGCAACAAATGATAGGTACAGGTATACTCTTCATGCAACTCCTATAAGAATCCAATATATCTTGAGCCTGCTGTTGTTTGAATGCACCAGCTAAAGCAATACTCTTCTTACACGACAGTTTGATTTTAGCACCAACAAGTTGCATGTCCTGAACTGAATCTTTTTTCTTTTTATTCTTTGTGTAAATGTCGGAAGCACAACTTGCAGTCTGTTCCAAATTAGGCCACTTAATCAGTTCTTGATTTCTACACCTTTTCTTGTGCATTTGTGTCCATGTTTTTAGTTCTATCTTCTCTTTTCTTTTGATGCCTTACACTACTCATGGACTAATTCCAACAGCTGGTGGTGGATCCGATCGGGCATATATTGAGTACAAATTGAGTATATATAAAACCAAACGTGCCCCTCCTCCTGCAACAAATTTCACCCCAAAAGCTACCTGAAAATATGTATAATTTTGTTGTTCATGGATTAGTTTTATTGTCAAAAACTTTTCATAAGAAATGTTACTCTCCCCCATCCCCAAAAAGGATCCTGGATCTGCCACTAATATCATATTGGTCCATCTGTTCGTTCAGAGGGTCTAACGTATGTTTGAGGCATGCTAAAGGTCCATAAGAAGCAAGAGGTAGATGACAAAATATTAGGAAGCCCTGGACCATATTCCCAACTTGCAAACAATTCCCACCGGCCCACTATACCTCGAGGCCTACACTAGGAGTAGTGGTTTCTACTCCCTGTGCGCTCCATCACCTCCATGCACTGCGTCTATGTATTTAATTGTCTTAAAGTCAGTCCGTTTGTCTGGGTCATTGTAATGAAAAAATAAATAGTATACTATAGTGTTTTTGTTTTTTCTTTGAAAGAAATGTAATGGTAATATTACTATTATGATTCATCTGTCATATGTATGTTTTTTTCATCCCTTTTCCATTGTACTACCTTGCAGTTTAGTTATACAATCTTTAAATAGAGAGAACTTACCGAACAACAAAACAATGCTCCAGACCACCTTTAGACAGATCTGTTAATTGAATCATCTACAATGCTATCAAAACAACATTCAATCATTTTTCCGTCGTGTTATATTTTCTTGTATGTTTTTCTTTTTCTTTTTTCTTTTGATGATCTACATGTATATGTCTTTGAATGACTGATGAGGAGAGTGTACACATATCATCTTGCCAATGAGTGACAGGTCTTATTTTGAGAGCAAAAAATGTTTGCTCTCTGTGGTTGTGTGTGGGGAATTGGTTCTTTATGTAATAGCAAAAGTGGTGAATTGTCATCAGGTTATGAGAGTGGAGGGGTTGGGGCTTAGTTAATTTGTCTCCAACATACATGTATTTATCACCATTTCTTATATTGATATCAGAGTATGTCACGATACTCGTCCAAGTTTCAAGTTACCGGTAGCTACTGGTATATCGTTTGATCAAGATCATTAAATTATTATACAACGCCATATTTTAGGTGTAATTGTATTCAACATTTTTGGCGGATGATGGGTAAAGAGAACTTGTGGCAAACTTTTTTTTTTTTTTTTTTTTTTGGGGGGGGGGGGTAATAAACACCCATTTTACTCTCCCTTTTCAGAAGCAGCGTATAATTTGATCATGTAGTCAACTTTTTGTCAACGGTATACATATACATAGCAACCAATATAGGGGGATAGTTTATACAAATGTAGCCCTTTCCCTCTCCGAATCTATCCTGGGTATTTTATAGTATATTGTCCATTGTGTTACTGTTGCTATGGTAGTGGACTGATGTCTGCCTCCAAGCACAATGATCCTTTGTTTGAGCTGGACTTTTATATCTGTTGAAATATTGATATTTCATATATGGGTCATTGGGAATCGGGTGTTATAAGACCTGGCGATGAGGGCACATTGCATAATGTGAATCTAGAAATGGCGCTTTTCAGACTTGTCAAAATTAGAATAGAAACATTATGAAATGTGTTATGGATAACGATTGTAGATGTAAACTGAGCTATGAGACTGAGTTCAAAGGAAGGGGTCAAATTACTGAGCCTACAAAATTTGTACATACGAGAGTTATATATTGTGCGATTTGAGAAAATATTATATATATGTTTTCATGATATGTATATGTGTTCAACTGTAAATTTATGTCATCTTAATGTGCTTCGTGTATTGAAGCGCAAATGATTATGTGTCACCCAGAATTGTTTATCTGCATTACTGATATTTGTGTTTTCCCCTGCTTACAGTTTATTTCTTGAATAGAAATATGATTCAGTTTCTCTGAGGATAATATCCTCATATAATACAAACAATGGGGTACACACTACTGGCAGATGTTATAATCTCCCTTTTCATCTTAATATTGTAAAACATTCTTGCTCATGCATTAATTCTCCTTGCAACTCTGCATTTGCATAGTTTTATGATTTGTTATATCAAAAATACAAAAACTGTAAAGATTATTGTAATCTCTTGGAAATGCAGCAAAAATGGTGCAATTTGTAAAGTATCAAATCCAAATGAACACAGGGTGTGAGCTTCACCCTTCTTATATGCAAACAACTCTGTTTCGATGGAGTCGTTCAAAGAGTCGATAACTCTAGTCTAAAATATGTTTATAGGAGCAGACATAAAACTTAATTTATTCCTAATGACATATTTGCTGGTAATTTACTCTATATTTGGCTAATATTTATCTAGCAGGAATTTATGTCAGAATGTTACGAATTCGTAAAGAAATGAGACCATTTGGAAACACTTATTGTATTCGGAAGTAAGTTTACCATGTAAACAATTAATCAACTGTAACGCAAATTCAAGTTTAACCTGTGAAGAAGGATCCACGTCTTAGTTTTTTTGATAGATGAGCTTGATTATGAGCTTTGTGTATTTTTCCTATTTATTGCAGAGTTTATGTATTCTTAAAAGCATGCAATATGTCTTAAATCAGCCCATTGGAAAAAGAAAAAACAAAACAGAGAATTTCAGGATCAATGGGTTGGAAGCTTTTGAATGAAAAACAAAAGTATTACATGTATGATGTCTTCCATTTAATTTGCTTAAAATCTGTGAGTTGATGATATCTTTTTTTTCTTCATGCCGATTGATTTAAAACTTGTTTGATGAAGTTCCATTTTAAATGTGAATTTTAAAAAAGAGAATTATTGTTGCAATGTAATGAAAAGTTGTATTGTTGTTTTTTTCTTAATAAGAAGTCAGTGTGCAATAATATTTGAAAAAAATGATTGGGAAAGGCAGAAATAGAAACAAGTGCAGTCTGAAGGGTGTTAAAAGGGAGGGAAAGAAAGTGAGAGAGGGTGAATAAGAAGAGAGGTGGAGAATAAGAGAGAGGGTTTTAATAAGGGCAGCAGGGAGAGTGCTAGTTAAGAAGGGAGGTGGAGAGAGAGAGAGAGAATGTTGAGTAGAAAAGGAGAGAGTATGTTGAGAAGGAAGAAAGAGAAAAGGAGAGAGGATGGCAGAGAAAAGGAGAGAGGATGTTAAGAAGGAAGGCAGAAAAAAGGAGAGAGGATGTTAAGAAGGAAGGAAGAGAAAAGGAGAGAGGATGTTAAGAATGATGGCAGAGAAAAGGAGAGAGGATGTTAAGAAGGAAGGAAGATAAAAGGAGAGAGGATGTTAAGAAGGAATGAAGAGAAAAGAAGAGAATGTTATTTCGAAGGATGGCAGAGAAAAGGAAAGAGGAAAGAGGATGGCAGAGAAAAAGAGAGAGGATGTTAAGAAGGATGGCAGAGAAAAGGAGAGAAGTAGTTGAGAAGGAATGAAGATAAAAGGAGAGAATGTTATTTAGAAGGATGGCAGGGGAAAGGTGATAAAAGGGCGATGGAGGGGAGGGGGAAGTAGCAGTAGCAGGAGTTTATAGAGAGTCTGAGCAAGATTGAGAGAGAGAGAGAGCGCGCAAGAACATAAATTTGTGATGAATGATAGAAATGAACTTAAAGCCCCTCTAAAGTGTTGGGAGCCCCAAAAATTGATGGCAAAATTTCACTTAAATTGTTTCATAATGTGAAAGAGAAAGTCATTTAAGACGAACTTCTAATTATGTATTCTTTTATCAATATTTGTCTTCAAACACATATCCGGGGGAAATCTTTGCAAAAGTATGTCTTAAATGACATCCTCTTTCAGTTTTGCCATCAAACTGCAAATTTGGGGCTCCCAACACTTCAGAGGGGCTTTATAACCCACATATAGCCCCATAAAGTGAGAGAGAGAGAGAGAGATACAAAATAAACACCTTGAAAACAAAAACAAAAACAAACAGAGAAATTTCACCAGTAACAATTGAAATTATATGTAATTCCACATCATTCAAATTTTAATATTTCTGTGAGCATGATAAATACATATTTATACATAAATTTATATACCTGAATTACACACAAAAATTTATCCTACAAATAAAATAAAAAATATGCAACATAGATGTAATAGAAATTTTATCTTAATTCATGAATTTGTATAACATATTTGAAATAATTATAGCGGAAATAAACTTCAGAATACAACAGGAAAATGGGAAGGCAACAAATTACTCATATAAATCAAGTTCTCAATTTAAAAAAAATAATAATAAAAACTTGAATCAAATTCATTCCATGATTACTTCTTTATTATTTCGGACCAAGTTGTAGGGTTGTTCTTTTTAATCATTTTTTTTGTTTTTTGAGGAGGGTAGGTGACAATATAATCACTTGTAATCCTTGCTCATTTCAATTATACAATCATTTGCATAAATCCAAAATACTGCACCAGCATCATACTTCTCATTGTTTTTAATTACAATTTAAACATGACAGATAGACTAAATATAAAATACCCAGGGGTAAAACCATAAATATCGGTGTACATACGCAATTCCAAAATACGTTACACATTAAATCAAACATTCACTTTGGACAAAGTTTACAAATAAAATCCTTTAAGTTTGGTAGAAACATCAGTTATATTGAGAATATAAAACTGCACAGCAGAGAAAGACAAATTTAAATTGGCAAATTCCAATAAAATACATTGTGATCATGACACATCTTCAAAACCACGAATGCTACATGCATGATGAGTAAGACAGCATCCAACATGCTCTTCAAAATTTCCTATTTTGATTTCCACAAACTACAACATATGGAAATCCTTGAATTTCACATGTACAAGTGAAAAAGGAAAAAAAGTTTTACAAACTCTGCAAAAGTTGCACATAAAAGTTTGCATACTTCAGGTTAGTAAGTCCAAGATAAACAATATTTTCTGCAGCATTCTACTAGTCTATTAATTCCTCTTTAAAAATCCTTATGCTGTCATCAACATTTTTAATAATCAATGATAAAGATCTACAATCCTACTTGCGCAGAGATGCCAACCTTCTTCGACAAAAAAAAGTATTCTTAAGAGCAAAAAACAGTATTTTGGGACAAAAAACAGTATTTTTGAAAAAATCTCTCACCTTAATGTATCGCCCAATCAAGCAGCTTAAAAAAAACGGCAGTACCATGTATGCATACTCGGATCGGAGCGCGACGTGCATACATTACATGTGGGTTGTTCACAATGTGCGAGGTTTTGGGCCCGTATCACCATTCTTTCTGCGTGCATCGTTTAAAGACGTAGGTACATAATACACTTACGACACAAGGCCCATGATCAGAAATTAAGAAAAACGTCACAAAAAAAAAAAAAAAAAAAAAAAAAAAAAAAAAAAAATTAAAAAATTAAAAAAAAATTAAAAAAACGTAACAAAACATACAAAAAACGTACTGCCGTATTCATAGTGAAAAAACGGGACAAATACGGCAAAAACGGAACAGTTGGCATCTCTGCTTGAGTATAATAAAAGGCAGGGTATTCTATCGACACTACTTCAGAATTACGTATACTGCCATCTGCTGCTCACAGTGTCCAGATGTGTCGACAGCCATGTCCCACAATGCATGGGTACAGGAACCAGAAATCGCTCCATGTACGCCTTCACCGAAAGATGAATCGTAAATACATGGACATTACAGCAGTGGTAGTGATGCCGATAAAATACCCTGCCTTATAAGACAAATCTTGATAAATTACTCTAAATTTGTAAGTCAAGGTAGATCATCATAACTTTCCAACGTTTTTTCCATAGTTGGAATAAAATACCTTACATAATGATATAGTGTTATTTTCCAATTTCCTTGAATTTGCCCAAATGCCCCTTTCAAATAGGCCACAGTCACATGTATACCAGATGAACACAAATTATGACTAAGAGTCCTTTCGAAAAGATATCTGGCAAAAAAATTATGAACTAATCCTTCACAATTTATTTCCAAAAATGGCTGTTGATTTATGATAAATACAGCTGTTTTTCAAAATGTCTTTATATTTGTCGCAAAATGTTCAGTTTTGGGTCATATTTGTCATACATGTCAATCGATGAAAAAACATGATTTGTTTCTTTAATTTGTCACAACATGCTTTTGTTGACAGAGCTTCCCATTGTGGATTGATGAACTCACTTTTAGATCTCTGTGCAATTTTTTATCAAAATTGGGTTCTCCTTCACTTTTCTTGAAGTTTATCACAAGTAACATCCTCATTTGGACAGATTGGAGTCACAGTTCGTCGCTGTTTTCACGAAGTGACGGTAGTGAAAAAAAAAATGCATTCACTTTGCATTACGATTTTCCTCACTACCGTCACTTCGTGAAAATAGGGACGAGTTATTGTGTAATGTGTAAATTTAAAAAAAAAAAAAAAAAAAAAAAGCCCTTTCAATTTTCGAAATTCATTACCATTTTAAACCCCTATGCAATTATTTGTCAATAACAAACCCTTTTTCAAGTTTTATGAATTTTGCTAGAAATGGGACGTGCCTATAAGGCACAAACAGCAACGGGCCTACTATATGGACTTGCTGGTAAGCTGACGTCATATCAAAGGAGGAAAGTTAAGGATTGAAGGTTCATTAGCATAGATGGATGCCATGGGACTTGAAAACCAATATCCAAAACCTTTTTCACATTAACTTCATGAGGCCAATTAGGGAATGATTTATAGTGATAGTTCCCATTAATATTATCAGTGATTTGAGATCCTCCCTTTAAAAATTCTGCAAGGCACTAAGGACTTTTACACATAAAAAATAAGGAATTAAATTTGTAAAGAGTTGTCGAGATTGTGCAGCTTTAAATATAATCACATACACTAGCAAAAGAGAAATGGGTTTCAGAACAACAATTAAAGAGTTACAAATACAGCTCCATCATCTTTCCATTGCACTTTCAACAACCACAGATATCTATACTTACACGTAGGTGCATGCTCAACATGCCATTGTATGCACGGCCATAAAGAAACTACACGGTGCATTGTATATGCATTACATCAGAGCTGCCAACCTTGTGCGACCAAAAAAAGGAATCATGATGGCAAAAAAAAGGAATTTCAAGCAAAAAAAAGGAATTCATGAAAACAAAACTTACAACCACGCGCGACACACTTCCAATGCAGAAATGTTCATTCATCATGCTGTTTTTTCCATACAAGCAGGTAATTTTTTTGGTGGTCATTTTGCTATTATTGGCATTTCATTTTTTTATTGAGAATATTTTTCTCTTCAAGTATGCTTTAAAATTAGTTTTCTATTGAATTTGTGATCAAATCACCATTTTAGGGCAGTTGTTTGACGTGCGGTATGTAAAAAAAATAAAAATAAATAAATTTAAACATTTAAAAATTTAAAAAAATAAATAAATAAAAAAAATAAAATAAATAAAAAAAAATTATTAAAAACCGTATTTTATGAAGAAAATTTGGAGGAAAAAACAGAGTAATTCCGGCAAAAACAGAATGGTTGGCAGCTCTGATTACATGTACGCTTTGACAATCTTCAAAAATAAACTCCCACAAATCATTTTGAGATAAATCAAATGAAATTGTTCATGGTCTTTGTGTTGGTATGATTTGATCTTGTATCAAATTACATCTCTTCAAATCAAATGAGAGGATCAAACACGTCGGACATCAACGACGTAAAAAGAACATACAAAATTATAATATAATCATATAGATGGTATCTTCAATTGTGCTTCACTCATGATCCAAATTCCACCGTGTCCTGATCTATTTTCTTGAATTCGTACGAACCGCGTCCATCGAACATCAGATAGTACTGCATTTTGGAATGACAAAAAAAGAGAAGAAAAATGACCATTGTATTGCGATGTGTAATTCGAGTTAGCTCGAGAGGAAGGATGATGCTAACCCTTGGATGATCAGAAAAAATAGTTTCAAATATTAAACAAAGAAAAAAATATCTGTCTCTTTCTCTCTTCTCCTCTCCTCTCTTCTCTTCTCTTCTCTTCTCTTCTCTTCTCTTCTCTTCTCTTCTCTTCTCTTCTCTTCTCTTCTCTTCTCTTCTCTTCTCTTCTCTTCTCTTCTCTTCTCTTCTCTTCTCTTCTCTTCTCTTCTCTTCTCTTCTCTTTTCTTCTCTTTTCTTCTCTTCTCTTCTTCTCCTCTTTTTCTCCTTCTCTCTTTCTCCGTCCATCCCTCCCCACTTTTGTCCTTCAATCATTTTTGTCTTAGAGATTTCCTTTATATACATCTTTTTTTTTACAAATCCCTACATGTACGTCTTCCAGATGTCTTTCATTTTCAGAAGTATCCCTCTACATTTCTATCTCTCTCTCTCGCTCTCACTCTCTCTACCCTTTCTTCATTTTTGAATCCTGTCCTCTTATTTCCCCTTCTCTCTTTCTTTCTCTCTCTCTCCTTCTCCCCCTCCGCTATCTCTCTCTCTCTCTCTCTCTCTCTCTCTCTCTCTCTCTCTCTCTCTCTCAGCTGCCCTTCTCTACATGTCTCTATCTCTCTCTGTCTGTCTGTCTCTCTCTTTCAGCATCTTTATCTCTATCTCTCTCTAAGCATCTCTCTCTCTCTCTCTCTCTCTCTCTCAGCTGCACTTCTCTGCATGTGTCTGCCTATCTCTCTCTCTCTCTCTCTCTCTCTCTCTCTATCTCTATCTCTCACCATCTGTATCTGTATCTGTATCTCTCTCTCTCTCTCTCTCTCTCTCAGCATCTTTATCTCTATCTCTCTCTAAGCATCTCTATTTCTCTCTCTCTCTCAGTTGCCCTTCTCTACATGTTTCTCTCTACATGTTTCTATCTACATATTTCTCTCTGTCTCTCTGTCTCTCTCTCTCTCTCTCAGCATCTTTATCTCTATCTCTCTCTAAGCATCTCTCTCTCTCTCTCTCTCTCTCTCTCTCTCTCTCTCTCTCTCTCTCTCAGTTGCCCTTCTCTACATGTTTCTCTCTACATGTTTCTATCTACATATTTCTCTGTCTCTCTGTCTCTCTCTCTCTCAGCATCTTTATCTCTATCTCTCTCTCTCTCTCTAAGCATATCTCTCTCTCTCTCTCTCTCTCTCTCTCTCTCTCTCTCTCTCTCTCTCTCTCAGCTGCCCTTCTTTACATGTCTTTATCTCCATCTCCCTCTCTCTCTCTCTCTCCCTCTCCTACTATGCCATACCTCGTGATATTTCCATAGAGACCTCCTGTGTGATACGGTGAAGAGTGTGATGCCCACTTCCCTTGCATGTGTGTAGATATACCCCTCTACATCCACAGACACAGCACTGGTGCACTCGTCTAGGATAGCAAACTGAGGCTTATGGTAGAACAATCTAGCCATCTGTAGAAGTAAAAAAAAAAAAACAATTAAAGAAAACAAAAGTGAGACAGGATAATGAAAATTGATGTTCAGGACCCCTGTCTTATATTAACAGTTGAGATTAATTAATTAATGAGATTAAGTTATTTGCGATTGATATCAATCGCAACTATGTACCGGTACATAAGTAAAAGGAGACTGTAAAGTTGTGATTGATCGGAGGACTTAAGATTGATTTGGATCAATCGCAACTCTTTATACGACGGTGCCAAGATCACTTAAAAATGAAGCAACTTAAAATATTAGTACCATTTGAGAATAGCTCTGTAATGTCTAGGTGTTTTATTGTTCTTGAATGGAGTGCGAAGGTCACGAGTCTGATCTCCAGCGCGGCACTTACGTTGTTATAGTCCAATCAATACAGTGCTTGACCCACCACTAATTGCTTGACCTACCACTACTTGCAAAATAATTTATTCTGCATTTCAGTAAGCTCCTCTAAACACCATATCAAAATTCTCAAGAAATCCAAGTATCAGAAATTTATGAAATTGGCATAATATACAAATTAGTTGAGGCTTTTATTGAGAACATTTTTTTTTGTTCATGAAAACATACAAAGATCCCCTAAAAGTCAAACACAAAACCCTAATTTGAGCTTTGATATTGTACTTGGCAAGACATCTACATTTGCCACACTTGACCCAGGTGAGGTACATGGGTACCTGGTAGGAAATAATTCCTTGAAATGCTAGAGCGCCATAATGGCAGCCATGCTAAAGCCGGGGTAATAATTTCCAAATCTCTTTTGGAAGCGCATAGAGATGTCATAACATGATATGTGCTATACAAGAACCGAATATTGTTATCATTATTACTTACAGCTACTCTTTGCTTCTCCCCTCCACTCAGTACATCCATCCAATCCTGGACTGCATCCCATGATCCTTCACGCTCTAGGAGATTAGCAAGCTGAACCTAAACATCAAAATCAGTGTATTACAAAAAGGCATCAGAAATGTGCACTAAGAGAAATAAAAATATCGAGTTTAGTACGGCATCTACCCCATCCATTTTTACTATATCCGATCTACAAAGGAAGTATGTAGAAAGATTTTCATGTCATTGAGATTCCATTCATTCAGTGATAATTATATTCTTATTTACATTGATATATTCAATATCTGCATGAAGTGTGAATTACACCATAATAAAAGCACCATGATTGGTTCAGGTTCTACTTTCAAGTTATCAGATTGGTTTTCTCCAGCATTGATTCATTGTGCCCTCGTATAACCATTCACCCCTTTCCTCATCCATCTATCATACCTTCTTTATCACTTTTTCAATATTTCTGTCTTTATCTACTTCCTTCCCCATCAATCCAATCCAAAAGATATTTGATATAGCACATTTTCCTTGTGGTTACAAAGCGCGGCACACACCGCTCCACAATGTCATTCTTTATTATATACCTCACTTAAGTAATCCAGCCATCTGATTGGTCGAAATTGCATTCATAAACTTCAACTGTTCCTGTAAAATTCCCGGTAACCATGCATAAAACATTTAATATTTTTAATAACCATGGTTATTAAAAAAATAGGTCAGCCTCCATGGTTACCCCATAGGTTTACATGTTAAAAAATGGTTTGAGCGATCGAGGATACCGTATGTGTGCGAAGGATTGGTCGGTAATTTCAATACAATTGAATCTCGATCGATCTTACCGACAATTTTATCTTGCATTGTTGACATGAAGACGAAAATAAACTTCCAAAAACAAAAAAAACAACATCTGCCGATAGATCTTGATCTAAGTTCGTGCCAATATGCATTGCAAAAGTAAAAGAAGGGTCCGTTTAATGGAGCTTTTGCGAAGCATTCATCACGCCGAAGCCGGTTTCAATCCATTTTAATGTATATATTGTACAAAACTGCCAAGCACGTGAACATCGCGCGATGGACGAGTGGTGTAAGGCGTTGGTGTAAGATTCATCACTCATTGTACGCAAGGGTTCGACTCTCACCTTCGACAAAAACAAAAAGTATTTTTTATTTTTTATTTTTTAGTCTATTTTTTTTCGGCATATAAAAGTATTAATGACTGCTTTAATATTCGAGAAATAGTTGTTTTTATACGCTCTCGGGAAGGTTACAATTGGGCTATTCCCCTCGGCACGCCTCGGGTAATAGCACAATTCTAACCTTCCCTTGAGCTTATAAAAACAACTATTTCTCTCAAAGCAGTCATTAATACTATAATATCATTCACTCCTTTCATAATTCATCCATCTATCATACCTTCTCTATCACTTCTTCAATATTTTGTCTTTATCTACTCCCTTCCCCATCCTGCATTCTTAAAAATCTTTAACTCCTTTCATTATTCATCTATCTATTATACCTTCTCTATCTCCTCTTCAATACTTATTTTCATCTACTCCCTTCCCCATTTTGAAGTCTTAAATGTCATTCACTCCTTTCATTATTCATCCATCTATCATACCTACTCTATCATCTTTTCAATATTTTGTCTTCATCTACTCCCTTCCCAATCATTTCTTCTTCAGTATCATTCACCAGTTTCCTCATCCATCTATTATCTCTTCAATATTTTTGTCTTCATCTACTCCCTTCCCCATCATACATTCTTAGATGTCTTCAATTTCTTTCTTTATTCATCCATCTAACATACCTTCTCTATCATCTCTTCAATATCTTTGTCAGTGACTCCCTTCTTGATCATGTCTTCTTTGATATCAGGGTAGATGATCTGATCACGCAATGTGCCAATCGTCATGTAAGGCCTCTGAAAACATAGAAAGATAAGATAAAGTTAGGAACAGAAGTTGGAGGTGATCTTGAGTTCTGGTTATGGCAAATAATGACACCCTATCACAATCAAATGAGGTGGAGGTATCATGCTACATGTATACATGTATCACCTGAAGCACACATTAGCATCGTTTGTTTAATTTGGATATAAGAATTCACAAAAATCCATTTCTGGTTTGATAAAATAATTGCAGGGTGTGATTCTGTGTGAACAAAAGCGCTTGTGGGATTGATCCCATGGACAAAATCACTTTGTAACATTGCTTTTGTGACAAAATCAATTATTTGGGGTGTTCCGGAATCACACATGTGTCACATCACATACAAAACATTGACTTCAAAACTAACTTCAAAATATACAGCTTATCATTATTGTAAAATATTACAGGAAAAAATTAATTTCCAAACCATTTTCAAAGACAAGTTAAGTAGCTCATTCTCTTTTCATCTAAAAGAAGTCATAATTGTAAATCTATCATTATGCAATCTGATTACTGTAACATTCAAACAGAGCACATGTATTTCTACCATTTGGCATCAAGGCACTCACCTGTGGCACATAGAACAGTTTCCTTCCTTCTGGCTTGGTGAGTTTGCCTCCAAACAATGGCCAAAGCTAGGTGGAAATAAAGAACAGAATAGGGAAATGGTCATTTTCATTCACACCCTGATTTTTACGTTACAACATCCATTCCATCTCTTCAAGCTCACTGCCATTTAATTTACGAATGATAATCCTGAATACTTTAGAAAACTTACAATTTTGAAAGACGCTAATGAAAAGAAAGCTCACTGCAAAAAAGTTGCTGATCAACAACCATTTGCAGCCAAAGACCAATCAGCCTGATGGAGCGTCCCGGAGTGGATGTGAAACGTAGCAAGCAAAAACATAGTAATTCCGGTTGATTTGTTGATAATATTTAACGTTACCGATGTAATACCCAGATGATTGAGACCTTTCACAGACATTTCAGTAATTAGTTTAACTGATATATAGCAAGCAAACACAAGGTAGATATAAACAAGTGATGATACAATAATGCCATTTCTAACCACTCCAATGCGAGTACCTACTTCTCCAAGTGTCCTGAAGAGGGAGCTCTTTCCACATCCATTGGGTCCACAGACGAGGACATTGTCCCCTGAGGGTACCTCAAAGGTCATCTCCCTGACCAGTATGTCAGCGTTAGGGGTCACCAACGGCACCTGCTCAAATCTAAGAATAGAAATGACATCATTATTAGTATCATTCTGATTCAAAGGTTCCAAAGGATTAAAGGGATTGGGTAACTTGTCTCAGATTCTGAAACAAATTCCTGGATTTAGCTCATGCTGCAATCATAATTATAATTATAATTAAAGGTCAGTCAGAAACCCCATGACTTTTACAAGCCGATCGCCTGTCTGATTATCAAGATATTTATGATTGGAAATGAAAATCAAAATCAAAATCAAAATTGAATTTTGCGTTTTCCTAACAGTTTTCATAACACTACAGTCTATTGGGGAAAATGAGTATGGTAAAACCAGTCACTCAATGCTTTTTATTTTTTGAGGCACTTCTTGATCATTTTGAAGCGCAATTTTTTTAGGGCTTTCAACATATCACAGACACTGATAATATGTAGGGCCCTGCATCTCAGATTTAGCATTGTTAAACGATGCCTTTAAAGGTTTGTGGTCTATAGTACAAGGCATCAATCGGTACCTCACAAAATCTATGTTGAAACCTGCCTTAGCGACCACCTTTGATTAAAGACCACCTGTTAAATAAAGACCACATCTTATGTTTCCCTTTCTCATAACAACCTGTACTACAGGAATCTGTTCATAAAGACCACTTTTCTTGTCTCCCTTGAGTGGTCTTTATATACAGGTTTCACTGTTTATCAATATATCAAGGGGAAGGGGGAAAGCATATTAAGGCAATATCCAAACTCTGTATTAAAGCTGGTCCATAATCCAGTCTAAACAAGTTCTTAGTACTCACTTGATAATGTTATCAGCATGTATGAGCTGACCACTACCCGGTACTAATGGCTCTCTGTCATCTTCACTGTCTGAATCTGTCATGAATAAAGTATCAAATATGAGATGAAGTTAATCAATGACAGGACATTTGTTTGGATGGTTTGGAAAGCGGACTATTACAGCTCTTGCCAAAAAGCATCACTTTTATTAATGAGAAGAGGAATATAAATTCTTGTGATCATCAACACCTGTTATTGGGTAAACACCCAAAGGGTGTCAACTTTCCCATGAGACCCCACTTCTATGTGTCTTTAAAACTACCCAGATAAACTTTCATAGCAATCTCAAGGGGTAACTTATACCAATCAAGTATGGTTCTTGAAAGAAAGAAGTTTAAGAGGTTTGGCAGTTTTTTTATCAGCTGTACAATGCAGACTTGGAATGATTGGATCCCCTGAGCTCAAATCTTTTACATTGGGTCTAGTAAATTATACTGATGCAACCGAAACAGAAACATTTAGAATCTATTTGGTTACCTTTCTCTTCTCAAGAGAAGGGTAACTTATTCCAATCATGTACTGTTCTTGGAAGACAGGAGTTTGGATGTTGGGCAGTTCTTGCTTCAATTACTCTGTATGCAAACACTTGTTCAATGCAGACTTGGAATGATTGGATCCCCTGAGCTCATAGCTTTTAGACTGGGTATAATAATTTTTTAAAGCCCCTCTGCACTAGTTTGGCATGGAGGGATTAGACCTCCCTGCAAGGTCACTGACAGGTGGTTATCTCAATCAAATCAGCTCTTTATTAACATAAGAAAAAGGGCATCATGGGGGATCAATGGTCACCGCTTAGGCATTGTTGGCTGTATAGAGGGCGCAAGTAGCGATAAGTAGTGCAGTGGGGCTTTAAAGGAGTTTTTCGGTTACCTTTCTCTTCCCTGACCATTGTTCTCTCATAGCGTCCTTGGTTGAGATCTTCTAGGACAGTCATCAGTTCAGTCACTCTCTGGGTGAACCTGTGCAATAACGCAAAAGAGAAAGACATTTTTAGAAGTTCACATTGAGAAGCAAGATTTGGCCCTTAGTTACCTATAACATAACATTTATTTGTTTTCAATTATAAGTTACAATATACCTATTTGATATACACTCAACAAAATAAGAAAGTGGACACTATTAGTTAAGATTTTTAAATTATTGTTCAATATAAACTTATCTTTCATACATCAAAATGAACATAAATTAGATGTTTGAGACAATTATTACAGATGCCCATGTCCATTTACATTTAAATGGATACTTGATCTATATTTGCCATTTTCTTTAATAATCAGACCTTCTAACGGTTAAATTAATGTGCTTCAGATAAGATATTTAACGGCAGAATTAAAGAGAGAAGTTATTTGTTGTCTCTCATTACAATGCATATTGTTTGCAAATTAAAACCTTCCCCAAAAAATAAATTTAAACAAAAATAAATAAATAAATAAAATTTTAAAAAATAAAAACATATTAAAAGTACATCAAATATCCTTTTGCTTTAGATATTTGTCATATATTAAACAAATCTACTTCATGCATCAAGCACATCCATGCACATTATCACAACTAAGGGTTATGGGTCATCATAAATAAATATTTATTCCAAGAGAAGCAGAAAACAGTAATGATTTTTTTTTTTATAAATAAATTAAACAGTGGGTTAAATATAAATATTTGAGATGAGCTACAAAACTACATGTATGTGGATATGATTAGCATGAATGCTATTGATACTAGCACATGGTGGGATGACCGAGCTTGGACGATTAAAGGGTTAACAAGAATGAATGCAGAAGACTTATATCACAGATAGGACACAGCTTTGTAGCCAGGTGAATAGGATTATATTTAAACCGCATGGTTTCCATTGACTCCAGCCAAAGTTATCCCAGACTTACATGTAGTATTAATTGGGTTAGAAGTGGCTTTAATGAATAGATAAGACTGACTAAAATAACGAGAGTACAAAATAGAAATGCTTTTTATGCAGACAGTGACACACACGTACATGTACAATCATAGGTATTAATATCTAAAACATGTGGTAGAAAGAAAACATAACACAAACTGCACATATTGGACTAAAGATAACACACAAACATGCATGAAGAAGATGTACACCCCTAGACTCCTGAATCCTTTCATTTCCATAGGATTAACACAGGAGCCTCCCCATTCCTGTACACAATGGATTAACGTTGATTTTTTTTTTTTTGGTCTTCAGATCCTACTTGGATTGAAACTGAAAACATATTCTTTCATCTCACATGTAAATATCTTTGATTGGAATTTCAAACATAATTCTTTCAAAGGATACAAAGAGTGCAGTGCTCACTAATTTATATATATTTTTTAATCATTTAATGGTTAGAATGAGAGAGATAGGGATAAAGACAGACATACAGACAGACAGAGTGAAAGAGACAGAGGAGAGAGACAGAGAGAAAGAGGGATAGAGAAAAAAAAGAGACAGAGACAGATGAGAGAGAGAGAGACAGACACAGAAAGCAAGAGGGATGGAGAGAACGAAAAGGAAATAGTATGCTGTGGCTCAGGCTACAAAAGAAAAATATATCACTTTAAAAAAAAAAATTATATACCACTGCACATCACTGGTTGACATCTGACCCTTTGACCTTTGACCTGTGTACTCACCCTGATAACCTGGTCATTTCGCGACCAGAGAGGATGAGGCGCCCTGTGGCCTGAGCCAACCTGAGCAGCATCCTACCTGCTTGGTAATACTCCTATGCAATCAGGAGAAGGAGGATGAGGATTGTGATTGGAATGTAAGACAAGCAGGATAAATAAAGAATGCAAAGAGTTTTATGATGCATGTTTGAAATGAATCAGGCCTAAAAAAAAAAAAAAATGTTGTATTGCCCTTTAGGTGATAAAACATTGGTCGGTCAGTCGGTTGAAAATCCTCTCTTTTTTTGCCTTTTTTTTTTCACTCCATCTTTGGGTTGTTATTTTTCAGTTTTGAATGCATTAATACGTTTTTTTCCCCAAAAAACGGTTAAAAGAAGAATTTTTTTTTTTTTAAGCTGACCATAGATTTCAAGATTTTTGGGTTGGTCGCAAAGGACAATGCACCAACTTTTTTTTAGGCCTCATTGATAGATGACGGATCTGCCAATGTATCTATTTGGATTAAAATGGATATGGGGTGAAGGTTCAGATGACTGATGAGATAATGCTTTGAGTATCAGCATAAGAAGAGGGTTCCTTGGTAGCCCCCTACCTACTGCATCGGGAGAGGGGGTGGGGCGACTGGATGAAAGGCAAGTGGCATAAACTTTAAGAGAGGTTAGAATGCGAAACAGTTGTAGAAAGACAAGGAACAAGACACTAGGATACGTGCACAAACACAGACAAAATACAATACCAACCAAACTCATGACAACACAGTGCACGATGTTAGCCACTATATTACAACACACATTGTAAATGTACATGCATACATGTATGTGTGTATAAACAGCAATGTGCGTGCTTTTCCCAAAAGGTAGTTACTTCTAGGAGCTAAAGTAGGGATATTAGTTTGCTCTACCTTTTTCATACCCGATTTTTCAATCTTACCCTGCAAGTCTTGTCATTTCTCGCCCCGATAGGATCATGCGACCGATAGCCTCAGCTAAACGCACCAGCATTCTGCCGGCCCTATAGTAGTGCTATGCAACCATGGAGAGGGAAGGTAAAATAAAGAAGAGTCCAATCATAAGTTTTTTTTCTTTTCTTTTAGTTCTTTTTATTAATTATAATGCAGATTCACTTTTTTATGGGAGCTAAATTATTTTTTTGTTTAAAAAATATCAAGACTCGGAGGAAGTAAATTGGGATAGTCGTTACTCCAATCGCAATTGTTTGCTGTGCATTCTGTGTTACCAGAGTTGGTGGCAGAAGTGACATCACAGGTTTACATTACTGTATTGGAATACAACATGGAATAAAACAAAGTGAATACACCTGCGGGTTGGTGAGAGTTCCAAAAATAAGAAAGTTATGAGTTTTTGAAGTTGCGATCAATCAAACACATATTGGCAACTCTGTGACGTATCTTGAAAGCTCCTCTCCCATTTGCCTTGTACTAAAAAAATGTTTTATCATATATACATTCACCCTTAATATAATTATTGCAAATATGTTTTTTTACACAACCACTGTATGAAACAAATCTATTCCATCATCAATAACTAAGAGACTTAAAGTTTATGGAATTTTATCTGTACAGAGCAAATTAGTGAGGAGCTCCCAAAATATGTCAGAGAGTTGCCATGTTGTGTTTGATTAATTGCAACTTAAAAAATTCATAGCTTTGAATATTTTTTCATTGGATTTTGCTCAAACTCTCACTGATCCGTTTCTCTAACTTTTCTGCTTCTATCAAAACCAACTAATTATCAGGATGGACTTCCCCTTTAAGGAGGTGTGCAGCTACACTGAAAGCTCATACAGAAGCAAAGACGAGTGAAATTCTGAGAATGAGTGAAAGCAAAAATCCATCGAGGGAGGGACTTACCCTGCCAGGCGCGTCATTTCACGCCCTGACAGAACCACACGGCCAATGGCCTGGGCCAGTTGAACAAGCATGCGACCGGCGAGATAGTAGAGCTACAAAGAACAGTCCATGCAAACACATGTACCATACACACATAGGCCCAATTCACAGGTTTAACTTAACCCAGGATTTAAACCGTCATTTACATAACCCATGGTTTAAAAGTTAGTGCAAAATAAGCGTACCTTGCCTTGCGCACATCTTATATTGGACCTCTGACAATGTTGCGCTAATTTTAGACTATGGGTTATGTAAATGAAGATTTAAACCATGAGTTAAATTTAACCTCCTTTATGAAATCGGGCCATAGAGGGCGAAGTAAACATACAAATAGAAGAGAGTGGATTTAAATCTTGACCAAATAAAAGGGATTTCTTCATCTAAAGATTATCTGATGGCAACATCCATCTGAAAAATCAAACCTAAAATGCCAGACAGCCACTCAAAATCCGACTTTTATCAAGTGATGGCTAAAAGCTTGTTTGTGATTGGCTGGTTTTGAGTGTAAAGAAATGCATCAAGTGATTAGTTTTTGTGGGGGAGGGGGGAGTTGGAAAAGATGTTGGTTGCAAATGAACTCTGCCTCCAATGTAATATTCTAATTACGTTGTCATTCTATGCATAAATGCACATTTTTTTATCAAACAAAACATTTATAATTGGAGGATTTACAATCAATTAGGCTCAATTGTAACATTTATAAACACAAAGCCCAGAACTTAAGATTACAATTAAAGAGGACCACTTAATCACCTAAACAATCTACATGAACATGAAGCAAGTATAAAATCAATCCTTCCCGATAAAAACAGCAACAACAAAAACTTAACCTGTGATTCTATGGGGTTGATGGTGAAGGAGAATGCAAAAAAAAGGATAACAGCAAAACCCGAGGTATAGGACCCACTTCTGACTTGAAGGTAGGTTCTGTGGGCTTGCGTGCATGTATGCTTTTACTCTCATTTAATGCGTAATTTAATAACAGCCAATTTCTCTTCACAGAAGTAGAATTTAAAACTGATATATCGAATACACATGTAGTATACAGTCATGGAAGCCTAAATACATGTGCAGAGAAACCTGCTTTAGCAACCATCTCTTTGGAATTTTCACCTGTCTATAAAGACCACATTTTCTGTTTCCCCTTGTCAAGTGTTTCTCACTAAAAATGTACAAACCCTTTTCCTTTTCAATTTCTTTTCATTTCTTAAATTTGTTGTCACATTTGCAACTCTCAGTAATCTACTAGGTTTTGTACAATAAGTCTTTTTTTTTTAATAATCTTTTTCATAATTTGTTTCTATTTCTATTTTCTGATTGAAAAAATGAAAGGCACCCGTACATAAAGACCACTTACCTATGAAGAGTGCTTTTCTCGACTCCCTTTCAGTGTTCTTTATATACAAGTTTCACGATATTTGAAAAAATTATTTAGGGGTGATTGGTCCTCTTTTAAAGTAAGAAGTATTGAGTTAGAAAGGGATTTCTATGACATACCTCCATCATCTGTGTATGTGACATGGAAAGGAAGGGTTTATGAGCCAGGTTCAGGAAAGGACGACTCACTACCATGTACCCTACTACAGTAGCAACATCTGTGAACAAAGAAGATATCAACATATCAAGAAAAATAATCAAATAATAATAAGTCACATTTGTATAGCGCTTAATACTACGTTTCTAAGGGCTTTACATTGTAATTATCATTACTCCTGTCATGGATTCAATAGCTAATCCACACTTGAAAGTGCACACACTCCTCTCCCTGGTGAGTATTCCGGTCAGGTGCCATTCTACAAATCTACTCTAATCTAGGAATTTGTAGAGCGCCTATGTCTAGTTGCCTTATCAAAGGTGCTGACGAGGCTGACAACCTACTGAATATGCTGTCCATGATTTCTCTCTCAAGAGAGAGAGACTGGGGTAGAGGCTAGTCGTAAGCAACGTGGAATAGAAACATGTATATGTCTTAACCTGAGTTTTGAAAGTGCATGTAGATAGCAGATAAATAGGAATACTGTTCAACAATCTAGGTGCAGATAAATTATCACATCAGAGTAAGACTGCTCCATCTGTCACCATGTACCTACATGTACGTGTTATTATGAACCAACAAATCCATCATACATATTACTGCACGGATTTGTCGGTTTATAATATCAACGACAAAATGTCTGATAATGAAAAATTTTGTGAGTATTTGATAACCTTTATGGCAGTTTGACCAAAATGAAGTATGACAACATTTGTATCCCTAGGAAAAGTGTCAACAGGAATAATTACACGTCATTATTCTTTCAAAGCCTTATCTTAATTTTAACATCTATCCAAATTTTCAACAGTGATAAGATTTCACTAGCAAGTCGATTCACAATGGGTAACTACAGAGATGGAAAGAACAAGAAATATTAATATCATTCTCCTTTCAAACTCACATTTTGCAATGATGTTATCCACAAAACCCATGGAGAATCTGAAGAAGATAAAGTTGTGTAGATGATCCACCTGCAAAACAAGAAAAGGAATTTAAAGCTCATATCCCATTCCATCTCAGAATGGTGTTTATTTTTCTGAAGATAAAAGATAATTCTCATACATATTTCTTTGAAATTTTAAGACAAGCTCACTTCATTACAGAGTCTGAACATTAAAATTTACTACAGTCATAACACAAATAAAGCCCTCAAATTATATGTAAGTGGGGGTCACGCAATACAATGTCACCATCTGCTACTGTAATTCCTAGAATGGCAAAGCTCAATTTTAGTTGTGCACTTCTGCACACACATACATGTAGTTTGATTCAATCAATCAAACATCACATACTAATACATGTAAAGAGTTAGGTCGTGGTGTAGATTACATTTATCATAATTACTTCCACTTAATTTTCATTTTACTCTTCCATTTAAAGGGAATTTTTATAAAGAAACTTAATATCAAAGAAAAGCCCCAGAAATTCTGGATAACAAAGAGTGCTATATACAGAGGGCTTACGGTTGCACCATGTGAGAAAGAGAGAAGGGAAAAATTGGGGAGTCCTGAAAAAGACTGTCGGTAATCTTTCCTTCTTTCTTGAGGGTTATGTTTGGTTACATGCCCTGATTGGATACGATGGGAGTGGAGAATGTGCATACATTGTGTGCGGGTAAGCCTGAATCCAATGACCGGGGTAATAATATACTTATCTGTAAAGCGGTTTGTGAGGGCCTCCGGTCCTGAAAAGCGCTATATAAGAACGAGCTATTATTTATTATTATTAAACTGCTGTGTCCTACATGTACATATAAATACAAATCAAATATATTTACCAGTTTCTTGAATGTTTTGTTGATGGTTCTCTGCTCAGGTTTGTTACCCTGGTAGAAGGCAATCTCCTCGCTGTTTGTGATGAGACGAGAATTGACGAATCTGAACTCGCCCTCGTACTGCTGCTCCTGTACAGTCATCTTACCTACGGGTCTCCTTAATCTGCATGCAAAGAATCAGACCAAAACAACAACCTGTTCACATTCTCTCTTGAAACATGTTAATAATAATAATATTGGATTCTTATATAGCGCACGTATCGACCTTGCAAGGTGCTCAAGGCGCTCCAACATTACCCGGCTATGCTAGGCTGCCGGTTTCGACACTCGCAGCATTTTAAGGAATTCCTTCCTACCGGTACCCATTTAAAACCTGGGTGAAGAGTAGTAAGCGTAGGTTAATGTCTTGCCAAAGGACATTAGTGCTGCGGCGGGACTCGAACCGCGGACCATGTGATTCACAGTCCGATGACTTATCCACTACGCCACAACACCTCTACAGACTGTCACTGACTCTCATTCATATTCAGGATGAATTCATTTTCACAATTCTAAGGACACAAACGTACACCATTCTAATTTTGGTTACGTTCAAATGCTGAAATTCAGCCACAAAGTATCAAGCAACTTTCTAGTATACCATTGCAACAGATTCTGTGTTATAGCTTTAATCATTTATTTTTTGGTAAACTTTTTATCAGATATATTCCATAGACATCCATATCTGTATTTTTAAAAAATACATATTCCTTGGGTTCGATGAGAGTCATATTCAACACTCCATCATTTCGTCTTCCATCTTGTAGTTTTATTATAAATGAGATAATTTGTAAATCTTACCTTGTAAGAACAAGACCTGAGAAGGCAAGATAAAGCAGCATAAACCCTGGACCCTGTGCGCCAATTGTGTTGGTCAACTCTCTAACGTAGATCACAATATCTAAAATAGGCTGGAAAAATAATAAGCAGATGTAGTGAATTAGATATAGGCAAAAGCGGAAATACATGTACTTGGAAAAATCAAATAAATGGAAATTAAAGTTAGTAGCATCACAACCTAGTTTCCAGACCATTGCCTTTGATGCAGGCAATGTCTCATGCTTTATTGACAGGACCAAAACAGTTTATAATTCATGGCAACCAAGGGACCAACAGCTTTAAGTCCTCTCCAAAGGACTTGATAATGAGGATCAATGCCTTGCCAAACAGCACTATCCCATCAAAATGGTTTCGAACCGTGGGCATCCTGGTTACGAAACCACTGCTCTACCACTGAGCCATCGCGCCCCACTCTTGGCGTGACCACTTCTCGCATTATCATTTTCATCGCATATGCAAATAATTTATCAGTATCTTTATCAACGAAGTCTAACCATAGCTCATTATTCCTTCCATATTTGTACACACTGATTCAGAGAGCTGAACACAGAAGTGAGCCCTCATTGTTAGCCGCCATTACTGGGAGCCATCAAGTACGCTACTTAACAGTTAAAATATTCTTGCTTTAGTTGAGAGATGGCCATGCACATAGAGTTAACAACTAAATTATTTGTACCCTTGTCAAGTTTTGTAAGTTTTTAAGTATGTAAACAATTGAGTTGTCCTGATTTATGGTTCATGAAAATGTGACACATTACAGCTTACATCTTAAAGTGTTCAACAAAGGCCCTTTATTAAACCAGTCCGCCTTTCATTCTTGAGTTACGTAGAAACAGAAAAAACATTGAATTTACCAGGGGTATGAATAATTTAGTTGTTACTGTACATATGACACTGAATCATCTCTTGTTTATCTCAGATGTCCTCCAGCTATGGTGGACAAAGTATTACAGTATAGTGCTCCCAGAAACCATGGAAACCACATCAGTGTTTAGCCTACCTTGCTCAAGTTTGAGTAGAGTTCAGCCACACTGTTGCAGAACTTCTCTACGTCTTGCGTAAGGAGCTGGTCTGCGTTCGCTATCCTGTTGTCCAAGTTACTCATCTTGTAGTAGGTGAATCCCCTTAGAACAAAATAAGGAGAATTTGATTATCACAAGAGGCATTAAGTACAACGTCTTTCAGATGGTGACGTTAAAAGTCGGTCCCCAGACGTAAATAATCATATTTAATTGATACACGTCTGTAAAATCCCAATTACACACACACAAATGTTAGCTTGAGTCCATAACATCCATATAAATATTTTACAAACTCTCATTATTCACTGAGCAAGGGAATTAATAACAGATTCAGGTTAATGAACTCTTTTCGTCATTATAAAATAAAGCTAACAAATTTTTAAAAAAACAAGCAGACTTGTGCATTATAAGTTGAAGGGTGTTTTTGGTTGGAATGGAATGGAAATGATGAAAACTAATAACAATATGGACTTGATAAAAAATGTACAACTGCTCTAAACCAAAGGGGAAAAAAATGGATTCGAGCTGGAAATGCTGTTCATGGGGAATATATAGTCCCACATGTGTGTACTTGTGTCAGTATTTATCAGCATACCAGTAAATGGTCTTTAGCAACCTTTCTCATGTATGCTTACATTTTAATAGCTATTCATAACAATCCACTTATTGTATGATACCAATTGAGAAAGAATGAATTTCATATACTTTCAACAATAACAATATATGTATAAAAAGCAAATGAAAACAGAACATTATAACATACTTGAGGTAGCGAGAGTAAAGATGACTGGTCAACTGGGTCCTGAATCTCAGCTTCAGCTCATTCAGTCCATACTGATTGGAAGAAGTAACAAAGTATTACGTAATAAGGTCATTGATGTACCTATGCATGTACATGTGTGTCTTAACATGACTCAAATATCTCAAAACTTAGAAATCATTAGCATTTAATGTGAACCAAAATGTTGGCATTATTAACATGAGCATACAATATATTTAATTACTTGTACTCTCTATTACTAATACTGATTTAGGCAAAGCAGTATGCCCGAAATAAGTGCATCTTTTTTTAAAATGGGCTCCTACTTCTTCTAAAGAAATCAAACTCCTCTCATTATTCTTAATCTTTCTTTCTTTTTTTTTCTTTTTTGGGAGGATGGTATTTTGTGTGTACAATTCAGCTTAGCAGTGCCATCATTTTTTAACTCATCATAAACTGTAAATTTTAAAAGTTCTCATCATTTTGGTCATAAAAGCAAACACATTATTAAAAGGCCTATTTTCAGGTGTTTAGAGGATAAATCATCAGCACCTATGCTATTCTGCCAGATAGCCCTGCAATTATTATTACCCCAGCAATCTCCAGGTACCCATTTACACCTGGGTGGAGAGTGGCAAATGTCAATCGATGTCTTGCCAAAAAGATGTGAGTGTTGGGCTAGGATTCAAACCCTCTATCCTTAGAATGAGAGTCAAGTAAATGAACCACTATGATCAAAGTCATCTTCTATTTCTGTCTTACCTTCAATATGTTGTTGACAAGAGAAATCTAAGGAAAGAAACAAGATCAAACAGAAAATTCAAAAATCAAAACAAACTGGATATGATTTTACAAAATGATATTGTTTGAATAAATTTGTGCAAAGTCTTATAATCATAATAATAATATTAGGTCCATTTAAATAGAAGATATATGATTATTACCCGTATCAGACATCTGAGCTGGTCATTTACAAAACCATATTGCCCTAGTTTTCACTAGCAGTGGGAACGAAGGGGTATATTCTTTGTATTTTCCTTGGTCTCCCTGCTCGTATAGACTTTGCGTGTAGAGACGAGTGAAAATATACCTTTGTATTTTCCACGGTCTCGCATCCGGGCATCTTGTATTGACTGCGCCATATTTTGTCACTTTCATTGCGCATCTATTATGCGTACGAGAACCTGCGCACTTTGCGCGCACTCTATTGTGACGTATTAATCACACCAAATGCACACTGTTTGCAGTGTATCGAAAATTTCGTCAAGCACTGGATGCACAGTGCTGGTTTGACAAAGTTTGTTCAGTTCTTTGAGATTGTCATGATGGATTTCTGTATTTGCTCTAGATGTCTGATTTGGATAACAATAAAAATATTGACTGGCTTTACTTTCGGGGGATATCAGAAATATTTACCGCGCTAAGACCATATTGCCTCCGTCTTTCGACTCGGGGCAATATGATCTGAGCTCGGTCAATATTTCTGATATACCCCTCAAGGCCAGTCAATATTATATGAATATACTCTACTGCACTTAATACAGAGTACATGTATCATATTATTATACTATCTTCACTATTACATGCAGATATTCCTCTTAGTTCTCATTATCCATGTTAAAAAAACTGAATGGATCTTGAACACAGCAACCTCAAGGTTTCAAATTCAATTTAAACTGTTCCCAACCGTGATGTACATTTTACAGACACAAATACAAAATCATTCTGATTAAAAAGAACTGGAAACAAGCATAAATAAACAAATCAATTCACATCTATCTCTAATCGATCCAATCAGTCTTTTTTTTCTGTACTGAAATGTGTTCTGACACTCCTGATGGAAACAAGAATATTTCATGTATATTTACCACTGGCATTGCTGTGATAAAGTTAAACAAATGCTTCTTGAACAAGTTGACATCACGCCCAATGATGGAACTACAAGAGAAATAGAGATAAACTGTAATTAATCGTCTGTTACAAAGCATAATATTTTATTATCTTTCATAAAAACATAACACCAACAACAGGATTCTCATTACAGTTTATAAGATCTTTTACTGAAGGTTCTTCTTACAAATATCATTACATAAATTCAATGTATTTTCTTCAAAGCTGAACATATTCATATCATATTCCATGTAGGTTAGTTTGTCCCTTAGAACTACACACTAATGGCAACACAGGCCTTAACCCTACATCTTTGATGAAATAAAGCCTGGGGCATTTTGGATCACAAAATTAATTATTTTTTACCATGCTAACAAAACAAATGTAAGAATATACTGCTTTAATTCCTATCTGAGAGACTTAGTCGATGTACCGGGGCAGATGAAACAGAGGGCATTAATCCACTAACTTGGTTCAAAGTGGGTCTCTTGTTTCAGGAGCACAGCTCTATCCACTGAACCATAATTATATACATCTTCTCTCTCTCCCTCTTTCTCTCCTTCTCTTACCTTTCAATGGCTGTTCCATTCTGTATCATCCATACATCACAGTATGTCCGAGCTATGAGAGAAAGTGCTACCAAAGCTAAGTACCCAGCCTGTCATGAAAGAAACAAAAAGGTATCAATTAAACATACTGTATACAATGTCAGCATATGCTATACAATTTCACACATTTCAAATTAAAAGGAAAAAAAAGACATTCCCATATTGCATGACAAAATACGTATCAAACTATTTAAAAACAAAACATAGGAAGCAAAATCTCTCTTAAAGATAAACTCCAGTTCTGGTAAAAAAAAGAAAATTAATTCTCACAGAATCAAACGAAACTTACACTGAATGTTCAAGATTACAAATAAATGACATGTGCAAGGCTCAAATTAATTTTTTGTCCACGGGGGCTCTTCCAAAAAAAAAAGAGCCCCCGTGAGCTCTCTCACGGGGGCTCTTTTAGTACCGACGGGGGCTCTTTTTTTAATACAAATTTTCATTGAATTGGTACCCATGAAACTCCTAAATTCCTTGGTATTTTATCATTATCATTTATTTAAGTCGGCATTTTCCCTCTTAGAAATGTACTTGTTACATAGCTGTTATTGACTTTTATCTCCGTAATGACATTCTCTCCATTTCTTCCCGCTCTGCACATAATGTCCTCCTCATTATTTGGAGCAACCTTATTTACATTCTTTCTTTACTTTTGGTTTTTACCATATCCTTCCAAAACACAGGGGCAGATCTAGCTTTTTGCTAAGGATGGGGGGGGGGGTAACCCAGATACGATGTGGAGCATCGTCCACGAGCCGCGTAGCGGCGAGGCGATTTTTGTTGTTGCTATTTTGAACTCCCGTAATTGATGTGTTCCTGGCATCTACTAACATGCGGAGCATCGTCGACGAGCCGCAAAGCGGCGAGGCGATTTTTTGGCGCTATTTTGAACCCCCGTTAGTGATGTTTTCCTGGCATCTACTAACATGCGGAGCATCGTCGACGAGCCGCAAAGCGGCGAGGCGATTTTTTGGCGCTATTTTGAACCCCCGTTAGTGATGTTTTCCTGGCATCTACTGACATCTACTAATACTGTGTAGGTCTGGACACAATGACACATGATAGCATTTTTCTATGCACAACACATTTTCACTCGGCAGCCCAAGGGGGAGGGGGGGGGGTGGTTAAACCCCTAAACCGCCTAAATCCGCCCCTGCAACATCTTTGGTGATCTTCTTCTCAATATTGATTTACTGGTCAAGTTACATTATTTGCCGATCTTTTAGAATAACCAGATTTCAGAGGATTCACACTTTTCACAACGAAAAATTTCTCCATGTTTCAGTCCTTGCGCGATCGTCTCCAGCTCCAGCATATATTGGGCGTCAGCGTGCACACCGGTACTACCGGCGCAGTATAGCCATTGCTGACGGCCGCACTACAGCTGCACTGCGAGCTCTGTTGTTTGTATCGGTAATACTCATAGAGATGGGAGAGAAAGCGCCATCTAATTAGTTCCATTTTATTGGTTTAAGGTTTGAAAATTGATACTCAATATTGTGTTAAAGTTATATCAGAAAAGATAATCTTTATTTTATAATTCCACGGGGGCGATTTTTAATTTTGCAATCGCCCTCGTGAACCATCTGACGGGGGCGATTGTGGGGCTCACGGGGGCGAATCGCCCACCGCCCCCGTGTATTTTGAGCGTTGGACATGTGCCAAACAATTTTGGAAGAAAATGTATACTGACTGAGTAATGAGCATAGAAAGACAAGGAAATCAAGGTAGTACTCCCAGGCACCATGTGTGTTGTCCCATATATAGCTTTCTGTGTACAGTGCTTGTTACTTTACCAAGACTCAGTCAAATTTATTATGATTTTGATGACTCCAGAACCTTGCAGTGCACACCAATACTTACATGCTACATGATCAACTGTTTCTGATCCTTTCCACACCTTTTCTTTCACAATGCAATCGCATTACCAGTACTAAAGTTTATCTTTAAGCATCTCTTTTTCAATTAAATTTAATACTCTTTCCCCATTTCTATAAATGGTTTTACTTGATTTCATTTTGACTTTATATCAATCTTTCTTTTTAAAAAACACAAATTTTTCCTCCAAGGAATGACAAAGTAAAAAAGTACATGTAACTTGATCTGCTTCCATTTAATATAGCTAAATATGATTTGTTTGAATTCTAGGTATTAGTTTCAAATAATTCAATTGTTTTATGTGTCTACAACATTTTATGAGAATGGCTACCATCTACATGATGTGTATGCATAGAGACGAACATATCACACAATAGATTTGAAAATTTAATTGTCAGTGTAAAACATCATTTGAAAATTGGTAGTACAAGAGAATGATGAAAGCATCATGGAAAGATATGAAAACTAACAGCGAAATACTGCATATGGCAGGGCTTAAACAAAAGATCCTGATAGGAATAGTTGAGGAAAAATAGGCAAAAATGCTTTGATCACTTTATTAAAGGTATAGACCAGTTCTGGTCATGCCATAGCAATGTGAAAGAAACGTTGTGGAATCGTTCAGAAAAGGTTGATCATCTAGCATAAAAGTATTGGTGTGTACTGCAAGGTTCTGGAATCATCAAAATGATAAGAAATTTGGCCCAGTCTTGGTGAAGCTACAAGCACTGTACGCAGGAATATGAATATGGGACTACGCGACATCTATCCAGTCCGGATAGATATAATAAATTTACCAAATATATCTATTAGTACACGGTTTCCTGGCAAAATTTGTATCATCACATATTAGTCAAAACATATTCTTTCACATGATTGGTAATATGAGCTTCCATTTCATTTTCTGAGAGGGGGGGGCGTTTCCAAAACTGGTCTATACCTTTAAAGGACAACATAGTCTCTTGAAAGACTTGTTGGAAGGAAAAGTAGAGGGTACCAGACAAAGAGGGAAACCAAGAACTAACTGGGAGGGGGACAGGAAGACATGGGGTGGAATGAAACTGCAAGAGTGAGTGGGTAAATGTTGCAATCAACCTTCGAGCTGGGAGAATATACCTTGATATAGTAATAGGTAGAAAACATGATCTGACCTACCTCTTTGCTGAACCAACCAGGGACAATTATACGCAGAATACGAAACAGCCGTCTGCAACACAAGTGTGATAATTATGTTCAAATAGCCTTGTTTTTATGATATCAGTTATGGATATCCTTTCCAAGAATTATTTGTGATGAGCTATTCAATTCACTTGCTGTGTATAAAGAAATTTTTGTAAGGACGAAATGAACCTAGCTGTGTCAAGTATTAAAGCATCTAGCAAGTTTTCAAATCAATAAACATAGAATTTCACTCAAAAAGTATGCATAGTATTCTAATACAGTAGTACACTAGTCAGTCTATTGTTAGAAGTACAAATACATGTACCGTAACTTCCATTTTTATCAGTACTTCATGGACCTAAAAACACTCAAATATGGTTTTAAACTATAACTATAGCAATAAAAGATTTTCTTTCTGTGTAATAAGTATTTCGCAGAAATGTTTTTGGAAGACTAGCCTACTTTTTATGCAAAACATGTTCATTATTCACAGTGTGGTTCTGTTATATAAATATGCCTCAAGCATGTTTAATCAATTATCAAATTTAGTTCCAATGTACAAATTACACTTGTACCAGAGCCACCTTACACAAAGTTTGGCCATTATTTGTGCTTGGCAAACATTGCAATATTCACCATTCTGTGCTAAACTAAAACCGGGCTGGCCAAACCATGACCTGACTTGTACAAGAGATCATATGAAATTTTTAATGGGGATTCTGGCTCTCTCCAAAGACATCTTGATTACGAACATTGTAATACAAACTCTCACCTGAAGAACTGTCCATCCACAGCAGCTCGGTCTTTCTTTGATTTATCTTTGTCATTTTTCTGAGAAATACAAGAAATTAATGAAAAGAAAACTATTTCACAAGGAAAACAAAGTACATTTTGCATTATTATTATTTTTCTCTTCTTCTTTGAAACAGATAGGGAGGTCACACACAGATCTACATGTATGCACTTCATTTAATTTGCAGAGTCACTGGAAATTGTCTTTAGCAATTCTTTACATTCATGGACCTAATTGTACATATGAATGGCCCAAATATATATGCACAAGTATATGGGACCATTAGTATATAATTTAATATTATACATGTATAAAAAAAAAATCATATTATACTCTGTTGCAAAAAGGTTATGATCTTGAAGAAGAAAAAAGGATGACAATGTCCTTTTCCACTTTCAGATCAAGTCAATGTCATTACAATGTCATTATAAAATAACATTTTATACATGTATCTACATACTCATATTGTAAAAAGGTCATGATCTTGAAGAAACAAAGAATGACAATGCCCTTATCCACTTTCATATTAAGTCAATGTCATTACAAAATAAAGATATCCAGAATATTTTGTTAAGTCACCCCTTTTAACAAATATCAATACCTGGTACACTAACAATGAAAATGTAGACTTTGACACTGTGTTCTCTGGGAGATTACTATATTTAACCAAGCAGCTTCATTCAAAAAGAGTTTGACTGAGGAGTACAGTGTGTGTGAGATGGTCAATCCTGCTCTATTTGCATTTGATCAAACCTATTTACTTAAAGAGACCATTACACATGGTATAAGATATTCTACTCTTTAACTTCAGCGTTGCCATCTTTGTATTTGCTCTTATAGTAAGTGCTCTCTGATGGAAAAAGCACTGTTGCATAGGGGCTGTATGCAATTAGAAAATGTTTCAGTTCATGTTCTACAATGTACATGAAGCTAACATGTAATAAATGAATAACTTTCTTAGATATTTCACTACTGTACAAGGTGTCGACACAAGATGCCCCTCCCTGCAAGTTCATATATATATAAATACAGGAAACTAAATCTCTGTAATTCTATTCTCATCAGTCTTATATGCATGTGTAGGTATTGTACTAAAGGTAGTACCTTCACTCATTGGCTTATTCATTGACTGCCTGGGGTTTAAACAGAAATTGTTTAGATTATGAATTTGCTGGTACTTTTTGTCTGGATAAATTTTCAATCTTACTGGCAGTCTTACATTATCAAAGTAAATACTGTAGACATGTATACATGTATATGCCTCTATCAAAACAATTTAACATTCCTAATAGAATTTAAATGCCCTTTTGAATGTTTTTCACATTTTTTTTCTTCAAAATGAATATATCAGCAACTTACCTGTATAACAGCTTGCAAATTGGCAGCACTGTATAAAATAAAATCAGGAAAAGTTAAATACAAAGATTCATGTATGCATTATCATTATTACCTGTAACCAGAACACTTGTACTAGACACACACAAAATTATCCTGGCTTCATCAAATCAAGAGACTAGGTCTATTTCATGTCTGGAATTTCATAAACCGGGTCCCAATATCAGCTAGCAGAATCTGTCCCTTGCCTCTATAGCGGATATATATATAATCAGCTTACATACAGAGTTGCTGTTTAGGTTTATAGGCGTTTATCATTCAAGATTGAATATTTACGCCTCTTCTGTTACGATTTTTTCTTTTCAAATTAGATTTACTTTTTTGAATAAACAGATTTGGATAAATTGGATTCTTAGAAAGCAAAAGGCTTATCGGCCATATTGGATGTCCAGTATGATACACACATAAGTCTATGTTCAGTCTCTATCTGTTTGCCTTGAGCTAAACTACCCGGCAAAACTAGTCAACATCGTCGATTTAATCCCATTATTTTTCCCTTTTTACATTAAAAGTATGACCTACTCTAAGGCCATTTAAAAAACAAAACATGTTGAGCGTCCTGCCTTTTTGAAAAAAAGAAAGGAGGAGGCCCTTTTTTCTTCTTTTTTTTCTTCAAAATGGTCGCTCGGTCCATTTTCCCCGACTGGATGGAGAGCCAGTCGGGCTATTTTTCAAGATGGCCACCAGCCTTTATGTTTTGCTTGTATTTTTTTCAGAAAAAAACAATTTTAGCGGTATGTTTTTTCATTTTTAAAAGTTGAAAAAAAAAATAATAAAGCAGGCGGTCTCAAAAAGATTTTTTTTTTTTAATGGCCTAATGTGGTAATTTACACCATGTTCTTCGCGTACGAAAGGAAAAGAAATTATTTAAAAACCTTTGATAATTGAACAAGCCTTGTCTGGCAAATACAAAATATTTATTTCCGAGAATTTGTCTGCAGCGTAGCAAGTCCAAAGTCTGCACTGCATGCGCAGAGCTACCAAGTGTCACGCATTATGCGTGACAGTCGCGCATCGAGGGTCTGAAAACACTGTCACGCATGGCAACTATTTTTGTCACGCATCAGGGCCAGACTTGGAAAAGAAAAAAGAAAAAAAAAAGGTAGTAGACTACGTACTGGCCAACGGCCTCAAGGCCTCAGCTAGCTCCTCGCAGGGTTCGTGTACGTACAGTGTATATCGCATGCAGGCCGGCTATCACGTCTCGTCATGCACGCACACGATTTTGAAACGTACACTATACGCTATACCCTCGCCCGCGCACTCGTCATGAAAATCACGCATAGCTGATCTTTGAACTTGGCATCTCTTCATGCGCGCTATGCAGTGTGCATTGCAGCAAAGCTTTTCCGAAGGAGCAGACTAGGCCTCCAAAGCGCAGACATAACTCCTTCGAACAATGGTTGCGCAAGTCCAAAGTTTGCACCCAACCATCACAGGCTATACGATTGTATTGTGCAGCGGTTTGCTGTGAAACCTGTAAGAAATTGTTTATTATAATGTCTTCGTTTTAAGGAATAATACTCCAAAAAAGATTAGAAAATTGACACAAAAGGGGTAAGAAACATAACGAATTTTAAATCATAACTATTATTTGAACAATTGATAAAGATTTTGTATGATTTAGTAGGGTATGTCCCCGCCAGAGTTACGGGTCAACGTCTGGATACGAAAATCAAAAGTACACTAGCACCCGAAATGCAACATGGGATGAATTGGGTTAGGACAATTTGACAAGGAATCACCCTTTTCCTCATCAAAGATTTCTTCAAATTTTAATTTCAAGTGATACAGATGCCAAGAGGAGTCGAAAAACATTGTAAATCAAAATTGTAATTACTACTTCTTTACATTTCAAAAAAATGTGACCCAATGCGCTGTTTGAATCGTTTTCCTACGCAGGCTCTGGAGCTCCGACGCCTTCGGCCTTCGGCGACGGAGCTCCCTGGAGCATGGAGCTGCTACCGGTACCGGTACGGTACTTGCTAGCTGGAGTTACGCTAAGCTATGTCATGTTTATGCGTAAAGTTGCGTTCCATTTGCATGCAATTAATGTAATTAGGAACAAAAACTCACCTCTTATTCCGGAGTATGCGTTTGTTTCTAGACTTCACAGCATTATAAATCAAGAATCCTGCTACAACTGAACCTGCTGTGGTACGACTAAAGATGAATTTACTGAAGGAAGGTGCCATATTTCAGCCTTTTTTCATCCACATTTCTCCGGCTCCGCAAGCAAAATTAGATAACTCGGCCTTGAATTTCGATGCCTCGGATCTGTCCTGTTGAATACTATGAAGAGCCATGAGAGCTAGAGAACAATATTCATTAGGGATTTATCAAACCTAATTATTCAAACCAATATATTTGTAATCTTCCTGTTATATAGATGGTTTTCTGAAATTATAGATGTAAAAAATAACGAGGTTTCCATATTTAGTTAATAGAATAATTATATCTATCATTTTTTTTTTAAAGAAAGCACTTGTTGACTGATTATTGATTTATACCCAGCGTGTCATACTGCTTCCCGGATTTTGTTCAGGGGCGCGGCCAAAAGGTGTTCCATTAAAGTTAAGTTCAAGTTCAAGACCAGTTAAGTTCAGGGCCGGACCATTTCCTCGAAACCGTCACAAGAGTAACTTCTTGAATAAATCAGCACTGGTTAATAAGTTATTCAAGCGTTTCACAATGGAAAGCCCTCTTTGTCATTTCAACATTTTATTGAAGCTTTATATATAACCAATTTTGACACATTCTTCATAATTATTAAAAGCATCGTATTTTTTTTTTTTACTTTAAAACAAATAAGGGTGTACGTACAGCAAAAATTGCACTTTCTGAAAGAATAAAAGGGACACTTTCAAAGGAAGATCTCAAATTGGCTAAAATATACGTTTTTAAAGCATTGGTATGTATGTACCCCTATACGTTGTCAAGATTGGGATGACATTGCAGGGATGGTTTTAATATGTGTTATTTCTCTCTTGACCTGGTCCGAGACATCAAACTTTGCAGTTGGGTGTGATGGTCCCGTGATGGTCTGCATATCCATCTGCGAGCGAGCAACACAAACAAACTTAGGAGGTCGCAGTGGCAAAAAATCACATCTTATAAAGAGGGGTTCCTGATGGTGTATAAATATAATTAACCACAATCTTATCATGAAAGACTGAAAAGAATATAACTATCAAGTTGGGGGAATTAAAGAAAAGCTTGCTCTAAGTTGTTAAAATCAGGGGCACCGTAGTTATGGACTTATAGGAAAAGGGGCACTTACCATATATTAATTGGGGCATTTATATATCAGGGGTGAAAATGGATAATTCTCGCACCTGCAAGAGGCACTCACCATGAAGGGGGCACAGATATCAGATTTTAATACAGGTATTTAAGAAAAGGGGAAGGGCTCTCGTCAAATAGAAAAAGGGGCACTTATCAGAAAAAAGGATACTTATTAGAAAGGGAAAAGGGCATGTGTCAAAATAAAAGGGGCACTAAAAAGAGATGAAAAGGGACATTTATGAGAAAGGGAATGCGCTCCGTTCTTTTTCAAAAGGAAAAGGGTGCTTTTGTACCCCTATACGTTGTCAAGATTGGGATGACAGTTGCAGGGATGGTTTTAATATGTGTTATTTCTCTCTTGACCTGGTCCGAGACATCAAACTTTTCAGTTGGGTGTGATGGTCCCGTGATGGTCTGCATATCCATCTGCGAGCGAGCAACAAAATTTGGGAGGTCGCAGTGGCAAAAAATCACATCTTATAAAGAGGGGTTCCTGATGGTGTATAAATATAGTTAACCACAATCTTATCATGAAAGACTGAAAAGAATATCAAGTTGGGGGAATTAAAGAAAAGCTTGCTCTAAGTTGTTAAAATCAGGGGCACCGTAGTTATGGACTTGTAGGAAAAGGGGCACTTACCATATATTAATTTGGGCATTTATATATCAGAGGTGAAAATGGATAATTCTCGCACCTGCAAGAGGCACTCACCATGAAGAGGGGCACATATATCAGATTTTAATACAGGTATTTAAAAAAAGGGGAAGGGCTCTCGTCAAATAGAAAAAGGGGCACTTATCAGAAAGGAAAAAGGATACTTATTAGAAAGGGAAAAGGGCATGTGTCAAAATAAAAGGGGCACTAAAAGGAGATGAAAAGGGACATTTATGAGAAAGGGAATGCGCTCCGTTCTTTTTCAAAAGGAAAAGGGTGCTTTCAAAAATAAAAAAGGAACTTTTATCAGAGGTGAAAAGAGACACTTTTTGTACCTTAAAAGAGGCACTGAGTCACCATATACAGAGATGAAAATGGGCACTTGTTATAAAGGATAATGTGCCTTTGTTGAAGGAAAAGGGGCACGTATCATATTTCAATAGGGGCTTTTATCAGAAGGAGAAAGGGCACTTATTAGTGAGGAAAGGTCACGTATTAAAATAAAAAGGGGCACCTATGAGAGGAGAAACGGGGTATTCATAAGAAGGGGAAGGGGCTCTTAATACAAAGTAGAGGGGCACTTATCAGCATGTGTTAAAATAAAAGCTTTTATCAGAGGTGAAAATGAGAGCTCATCTAAAATGAAATGTATAGCACTTATCGGAAGGGGAAGGGGCAAATTCTACAAAGTAAAAGGGGCAATTGTCTAAGTAAAAATGGCACCTCCTAGATTTGATAAGGGGCAATGATCAGAGGTGAAGGGGTTACTTATACGAAGTGAAAATGAGCATTTCTCGTATCTGAAAAGGGGCACTTACCAGAAATGAAAAAGGGCAATTTTGAGAATGGAACAGGGACGCCTATTGCAAAGGAAGAAGGATATCTATGCCAAGTGACAAATGGCATTTATGAGAAGAGGCTCTTAAAGGTACTATGTCCCTTTTGCAGCCAACCTCAAATTCTGCAGAACTTTGCCGGAATTATGAATATTTCATGTATGTCCTATCTGTGAAATTTAAACGTTAGCAGTGTCCTCATATTCAAATTATGCAAGGAAACCCGTTTACTTGCTAGACTTCACTATCAGACACTATTGAGTGACTGACTGGCTTTTTTCTTCTTTGGTAATAACATACATGAAAAGAGTTGTAAAGGGTACATGAGCATTTGTCTACATCAATAACCCACTTCTTGTGATGGCCAAGATTAAACTGATTGAATCTTTGCGCAGCATAAAACGTATGACCATTCGGTACAATTGTCTGAAAATCGAGACTATTACTTTTGGGCTCTATAGCCCTAAAGTCGATTTGACAACTAATAGTCGTTTTTTCCACTTGAAAATATTTTCAAGCCCCACCTTTTTTAGGGAAGCTCTAAATTAGTATTATCTTTCAAATGCAGTTTGAATTTAACTTTTTCATTTTTTTGGCCTGCAAATGGGACATAGTACCTTTAATAAGAGGGAAAAGAAAGTGAAAGAGAGAGAGAGAGAGACAGAGAGGGAGAGAGAGGGAGACTTGGGGAGAATAAGCAGACTATAAAGAAGTTATGGCAAAGAAAGAAAAGAGAAACAGCATCTTAATGTGTGCATTGAACCTTTACTGCTCACCAAAAGAGTATACCTCCCTCTAGTGTCACGATGCGAGCGCATACACACAGTCATGTCCATGTACATAAATAATAATGAATGAAAAAGAAAGAAACAAAAATGTTGTGACCCTTTTATTTCCCTTTTGTTTTAATCTCAACATGAAAGCAAAACCTGTCATTAAATTACTGCTACCCATGTTTAAACAAAATTTCAAGACACATTTTAAACAGGAAAGCCTGTTTAATGACCTGTACCTCAACTGTTACATTATCTGCAATTCAGTTTTCAAAAAGTAAACTTTTTGAAAAGACTCATTTCTGTCTTGATATGATCATGATATTGATCATGATGTTGATCTCTCTCCCTCTCTCTCTTTCTCTCTCTCTCTCTCTCTCTCTCTCTCTCTCTCTCTCTCTCTCTCTCTCTCTCTCTCTCTCTCTCTCTTAACTTTTGATGACTTGCTAAGTATTCCTGAACATGTAATGTATATATATATATATATATATATATATGTATGTTGAAGGTTCATTTTTTCTATTACATATTGCATGATGTTCAGAATTTAATTTGCATTTTCTGTGAAGAAATACAAACGAGAGAGAGAGAGAGAGAGAGAAAGAGAGAGAGAGAGAGAGAGAGAGAGAGAGAAAGCGAGAGAGAGAGCGAGAGGGGGGAGCTGGGGAAAGAGCGAGAGAAATAGAAAGAGAGAGAGAAAGGGGGAGAGGGAGAGCGAGAGAAATAGAAAGAGAAAGAGAGAGAGAGAGAGAGAGAGAGAAAGGGAGAGGGGGAGAGAGAAAGAGAGATAGAGGGGAGAGGGAGGTGGGAAGCTAGGGAGAGAGGTGGGCCTAGGGGAGTGTGTGTGTGTGTGTGTGTGTGTGAGAGAGAGAGAGAGAGAGAGAGAGATGGAGAGACTGATAGAGAAAGAGAGAGATATAGAGACATGGAGAAAGAGAGAGATGGAGAGAGAGAGAGAGAGAGAGAGAGAGAGAGGGGGAGAGAGAGAGTCCTTTCCCATGATCTCTCTTGTTCACGTGCATTATTCATAATTGCAGTATACATCACTTGCATGTTTAATGGAGCACATCATGCTTTTATCCTTGATCACAATAATGCTACCACATTTTTACACGTATGATGGAGGGAGGATTGAGGTGAAGTCTGCAGAGTGCGGGGAATAATAAATGTTGATTTTGATCTACAATGACTCTAAGCAGGGGCGGAATAAGAATTTTGTTAAAGAGGGGTGGGGAAGGACGAAACTCTGAAGCAAGTTCTGACATGCAAAATAAAAATTAAATTGGATACAATATCAGGTGCTTTTTCAGTTAAATTTGAAGGGGATTAATTTCTTGTTGTTGTTGTTGTTGTTGTTGTTGTTGTTGTTGTTGTTGTTGTTGTGTACTTAATGTACTTGGGTTTCAAAAGGGGGTATAAGCCAGAAGAAATACACATATCTAGCAAGGCTTAGTCCAAACATGATACAATTGACATTCTACGGCAGGATGATAGTACAAAAGGGTTTGATTGTGCAGAGTTTTCCAGAAGTATATCCAAGCAACAGATGTTCTATGTTTCTTGATATAAATAAAACCGCACTAGATTGCATGATTATAGTGATTCATTAATTGCATTCTTAAAGCAAACCTTAAAATCAAAACACGCACTATGCACCTCCTCCTGAGATTTATTGGAACATTACCATGGCAACCTCGCTTGAT